ATTATTTTAAAAGCTATATATATGCAGTAAATATATATATATATGAAGTTGAATAATATATATATATATATATATAATAACTATGATATACCTGTTTTTTATTATGAAATACTCGGGCGTATAACCGACAGCAACCATATAATGACTGATACTATTGGCATCACATAATGGTTCTTCAAATATACCGGATCTTAGTTTGTTGTTGTGTTTGAAATAATAAATAATTAAATATATATATATACTATAATATAGTGTAATAATGTAATATAGTATATAAATAAAGAAAAATTATGTTAATATACAATGTATTAAATATAAACGGAGTGACAAAAACAAATTTATATAGTATAGCAATAGTTCATAAAAATAATAACTAATAAACTAATTTATTTTTTTTAAATTTCCGCCCCCACTATCCAATTAATCAGATACTCATATATATATATATATATATATATACTTTCTATATTATATATAATGTTAACAAAAATTATTTATAATTTATTATATAAAGTTAATTATTGACAGCATCTAGTATAGTGCTAACCCAAACCCAATAATAATAATAATAATAATAGTAATACTTGTAATTTATAAAATCTTGAGTTATATGAAAGCTAACAGTGACCGGTCCGTACGTATAGATAGCTGATACTAATTCATCGTCGGCTCCGGTAGTTATACGATTGACTTCTTTAATGTCGACATTGATTGGCATTTCTTTATTAAACTGGCAGTTGACCGGCTGAATGTGTTAATTAAATTAAATTAATTATATATTCATATAAATAATACTAATACTAATAATTAGTATACAAATGCACTTAATTATTAATAATATATTCAAAAAAAAACATATATATAAATATAACTAACTATTCCAGTATATGGATATGTATCGTATGTATTGAGTTGATTAACTGATTGTACATATTCAAAGGCATCTTTACTACTACCTAATAAATATTAATTAAATATAATTAATTAATTATTTTAATAGTTATTATTATATAATAATAATATAATTAATTATTATACATAATACTAATAATAATAATAATAACTATAATACAGACCTCCATTGCAACCTTCCGTTCCGTATTCACGGGAACAGTCGATCAGATTTTGTTGACTTAATATCAATTGATTTGACGGATCAAACTTATCCTCAGAAATCTGAACCTTCATTAGATGACCTAATAATAGTATATGTTTTTCAACAATATTAATAATACATACATATTGTAATAGTTATTAAAATAAATTAATTGATAATTTTGTTATTATTATTATTATTATTATTATTATTATTATTTACTTTCCAATACAGATGCCGATGCAAAACTCCAACACGAACCACACTCTCCCTAAAAATTTATTTTTTAAATAAAACATTTAAAAATCTGGGACAAAAAAAGTGAACAGGGTGTTTTATTTTTTGGTAAACAATTGATCTAGATAACAATTTTTCTATTGATGAACTATGGCACCGGGTATGTTAGCTCAGGGATGCTATTTTATCTCAACAACAAAAAAATCTATCATATAAAAAATATTTATTATTAAGTCCAATAAAGTGTTTTAGGATTTTAAAAATATATGTCTAAATATTACTGTACTTAGATGGACAGTAAATTTATTAAAATTAAACTTAATAAAAATTAAGCTAGCTATTTATTTATAAATAAGTCAATATATTAAATTCTATAACAATTAACTTATAAATTGTCTAAATTAATTAATTATGAAAAAAAACTATTTGTTTGTGTATAAAAATTTTACATTAATATATATATATAATATAAATTTTTATCTCTATATMTATATATATATATATATATATATATATATATATATAGTTAATTGTAATATACAGATGATTATAAATTATAATTTACATTTAGATATTTAAAAAAATACCTGATTTTTTGTTGGTGTTATTATACCAAACTTTCTCCAATCCCATTCAAACGGTATATTATTAGTAGTATCGACGGAATATAATGTTACTGTTAATAATAATAATGATAATAATAATAATAATATATTAATAAAACAAACAAACAAACAAAATAGTGACAAATATCAATATACCCGATATATGTAATATAACTAATAACTATAACCTTATGTATAAATACATACTTTTATCATTACGGTTGAAACTTATTGTACAAATACAATATGATTATTATAATAACATTAAATAAATCATCTGATAATTGATAGTATGTTAGTATACAATATATATCAGTGATCAAAATTAAACTTTATAAAACAAAATTGTACAAATAAACTAGTACATATTAAATGAGTAAGTGTTTGTTTAACTTACTCATTGTTTGTTATAAATTATGAAAATTACTATTAAATATTTGTTAAATTAGTTATGTTATATATGTATCACAAAGTTATCATGATAACACTTAATTTTGATCACTGATATATATACAGTATATATTTATTTATTTAAATCAGAGACAAAATTAGTAATATTTGTTATTTTTTAATTAATAAAAAAAAAGTTTTAAGCAGGAGACAACATAATTGTTTTTTTAGTTTAAGTTTTAGTAATTAATTTTTTTTAAAAAAAATTCTGAATAATCAGTGGCACCGGTATATAGGCTCAGAGAGGGAGAGAGAGAGAGAGAGAGAGAGAGAGAGAGAGAGAGAGAGAGAGAGAGAGAGAGAGAGAGAGAGAGATAGTATACATACTTTGAGGCATTTTTTCGGGTTTACTTTTGTTTGTATTATTTCTTGTATTTTTGTTTGCTTTTTTAAAACCGAATTTTTGTTTTTGTATTTCTGACCATTTCTTTGATGATTTTATTTTTTAAATAATGATAACAATTTTTTTGTTGTTGAAAAATAAATAAAATAAAAGGTAGTTTCAAATAAAATTCAAATAAAGTTATGTAAATCAAAATTAATTAATTTATATATAAATATATAGGACTAACCATATCTGACATATCATTGATACCCTGTATATAATGGGAACAGTCGTCGGCGTTGTGTTTATTAATCGCAACAATTGTTTGCTTGAATAGACCGACCCTTTCTTCCTCTTCCTCTTTGGTTTTATATGTTTTGTTGAACAATGTCTTTAAATTACACAAACAAACAAAAAATTTAAATATTAATAATAGATTTGTTTTATAATATTTAACATAATAATAATAATAATACAAACTTTATAATTATTGTAAAACGCATTAATTTGTGTTGAATTGTGTAAATCAAGTTTAGTTAAATCATAGTCGATAACAGTATTATTATTTTTAACTATTTTTTTTATAAAAGAAAAACATATAAATAAATAAATAAATTTTAAAAAATAATAATATTAATAATTATTAATATAATTGATGCGATTATTAATAATAATAATAGTTGTAAATTTATATTATTTTTAAATACCTATAAAATTATTTTTTTTAGTATTTCTAGCATCAATAGTCTTAATTGATTTTAGTTTAATATTTTGAAATTTATCAAATTCAAGTTTTTGACGGCCGGGTAGGTTTAGGGCCAGATTTCGATAGTTAATTGGTTTTGATCTTAAAAACAAATTGTTAGGCAAACTATTATTATTATTAAAAATATTTGGTTTCTGATGAGATAAATCCGATAACATTATTATTATTATTATTATTATTATTATTATTAATACTAATAATTGATTTACACTAAAAAGTTTCATTTTCTTATTATTACTATTTTTAAAAAAATATTATCAATAATTAATTAATACGATTTACTGTATAATTATTAGTTGACTAAAAGTAAATGTTTTGATGATTTTAAGTGTGTTTTACTTAAATATTTAATTAGATATTTAAAAAAAATTGTCAAATTTATTAATAGGACTACAAATTTAGCAATAATTTAATTAAAAAAGTTATTTTAGTATATATTTTTTACGTCAATTTTGTTTTTTAAAAATAGTTGAACCATATGTTGTATTTTTTGTTGTTGTTAAATAATAACTATTTTTTATTATAACTATAAAATTTTGATTTCTAAACAATTATTAAAATAAATACATGTAATACAAGTTAAACAAATTATGTAGACCACTATCTAACAAAAAAAAAATGGTTTAATCAAATTTATAAAAACACAATAAATTAATAAAATTTAATTAACAAATTATTATTATTATTATATAATAGATTCTGCATTTTTAAAAAATTAATTTTAGCAATTAACTACAATAATAATAATAATAATAATAATAAATTAAAATAATTTTAATCAATTGATTTCAAATAAAAAGTTTATTTTTGTTTATTTTTAACAAGTCAATTAGTTTATTAAATTTTTACATTTTTAGATTTTACAAAGATTTTTTATTAAGGTAAACTGCAAAAATTTGTCATATTTTCTTAATTGATATTATAAACAAAATTAGTTTATAAAATACATGTAAACTATTTGTTGTGTGTTTATATCCAAAAAACACACACACAGACACGTAGAAACTTTAGAAATTAATTATTAAAAAAATTATCTAGTAGAGTTTATATAAATTTAACTAATATAATACATATACATATATAAAGTAAATTTTTAGTTTTATTATTTAATTTCAATTTAGTTTGTCTATTACGTTATCGGTTCGGGACTTAATGAGGTAATACTACTAATAACAACTAATAAACTACTGTAGTGGTAGTGGTAGTGGTAGTAATGGTGGTAGTAGTATTACACTGGATAAAAAGCACAGTTATTAACCTTAAACCGGGACAACCTTATAAAAAGCTATTTTCACTCCTCCCCCTCCCAAATATATTAGTTTTGAGATTTAATTTATAAATTTATTTAAAAAAAATAATTAAATACTTTATATTTTTTAACTAAATATCTTAATTGACTACAAATCTAATATTATATATATTTATGATTTAGTTTGTAATATTGTCTAGAATTGATAATATTAACTATATTTGACTAAAATTAACTTAAATAAAATATAAAATACATTACAATCTAATTAGTACTGTATATACAGATATAGTTAATTTAATTTAATTTAATTTATTTTATTTTTTATTAGTTTGTATTTCATTTGATCGGTTCCGACACATTGGTCAGCACTGGATAGTAGTAGTCATGTTCACCAATACCACAGCTGTTACTCATAGACCGGGACACTCTGGCAAAGCCATCCTCACCCCAATTGTTGCCCCAACTGTCACCCATCCCAGCCAATCGGGTATCAAATTAAAAAAAATAAATAACATTTTATTTTAATTAACTAATTATACTATCATATATATATATATATATATATATATAAACTACATACAGTATATACTAAATAAATGTAATATAGTTGTAACTATGATATACCTGTTTTTTAGTATGAAACACTCGGGCGTATAACCGACGGCAACCATATAATGACCACTATTATTGGCATCACTTAATGGTTCTTCAAAAATACCGGATCTTAATTTGTAGTTGAGTTTTAAAATAATATATATATATACATATATTTAAATATATAAATTTATGTTAATACAGTGCTAAATTTATGTATAGTAGTAGTAGTAGTAGTAGTAGTGGTGGTGGTGATAGTAGTAGTGGTAGTAGTGGTAGTAGTGGTAGTAGTGGTAGTAGTGGTAGTAGTGGTAGTAGTGGTAGTAGTAGTAGTAGTAGTAGTAGTAGTAGTAATAATAATAATAATAATAATAATAATAATAATAATAATAATAATAATAATAATAATAATATACTTGTAATTTGCAAAATTTTCGGTTACATCAAAGCTAACAATGACCGGTCCGTATGTATAGATAGCTGACGCCAATTCATCGTCGGCTCCGGTAGTTTTTTGTCTATTAAACTGGCAGYTAATCTGCTGAAAGTGTCAATTTAATTTGGTATCTCAACAAACAAAAAAAACTATAATAGTAATAGTCATTTATATAATTTAATTGTTCTAGGTATTTATTTATAAATCAATCAATATATCAAATTTTATAACTAATTCATTATTATTATTATAGAATAAATCATATATATATATATATATATAATTTTTATTTGTTATATAATAAAATTTAAGTAGATATTAAATAAAATACATTTTTCTACTTAAAATGTTTGAAATAAATGTTATTTATATATAATATCTATTAAAATCTATAACAAATAAGGATTGCCTTATAGATTGGTTGAATTAATTAATTATTTAATTAGATTTTGAATTTATTTTTATTTGTTTGTATTTTTGTATGAAAATTGTAAAATAATTATATATTTTTTTATCTCTATGTCTACTATTATCTGATAGTTAATTAGTTTAAATTCATTAAATTAACTGTATTAACTAATATATATATATATATTTAATAATTATAAATTATAATTAATAAATTAGATATTAAAATAATACCTGATTTTTTGTTGGTGTTACCGTACCATACTTTCTCCAATCAAATTCAAGCGGTATAGTAGTAGTAGTAGTAGTAGTATTGTCAACACCAACGGGTGAAGCTTATTGTACAAAACAAAATGATTATATAATAACAATTAATTAATCAATTTTATATTTACCCGAGTTATAAGTAATAGTATACTAGCATACTATAAATATATAAATATATATAAATATTACAAAAATTTGTCTACAATGTTTTATATATATATTTAAGAGAGAGAGAGAGAGAGAGAGAGAGAGAGAGATGATATAAATAGATAGATAATAGATAGATAGATAGATAGATAGATAGATAGATAGATAGATAGATAGATAGATAGATAGATAGATAGATAGATAGATAGATAGATAGATAGATAGATAGATAGATAGATAGATAGATAGATAGATAGATAGATAGATAGATAGATAGATAGATAGATAGATAGAGAGAGAGGAAAGATAGAGAGAGATAAATAGATAGATAGAKAGAGAGAGAAAGAKAGAGAGAGATAAATAGATAGAGAGAGATAGATAGATAGATAGATAGATAGATAGATAGATAGATAGATAGATAGATAGATAGATAGATAGATAGATAGATAGATAGATAGATAGATAGAAAGAGATGAGAGAGAGATAAATTGATAGAGAGAGAGAGGAAAGATAGAGAGAGATAAATAGATATAGAGATAGATAGATAGATAGATAGATAGATAGAKAGAGAGAGAGAGAGATAGATAGATAGATAGAGAGAGAGAGAGAGAGAGAGAGAGAGAGAGAGAGATAAATAGATAGAGAGAAAGAGAGATAGAAAGAGAGAGAGACTAAACATACATTTAAGCATTTTTTCGCGTTTTCTTTTCTTTGTATTATTTCTTGTATTTTGATTATCTCTTTTTAAACCGAGTTTTTTCTTTTGTATTTCTGACCATTTCTTTAATGATTTTAAAAATCAAATCAATAACATATTAATCCAGAGTTTATTTTAAATGTAGTTCAGATTAAGTTAAATATATATACAGTATTTATATGTATATGTATAGGACTAACCATATCTGACATATCATTGATACCCTGTATATAATGGGAACAGTCGTCGGAATTGTGTTTATTAATCGATACAATTGTTTCCTTGAATAGACCGACCCTTTCTTCCTCTTCCTGTTTGGTTTTATATGATTTGTTGAACAATGTCTTTAAATTACAAAAAAAATAATAATTAGATATCAATTTAAATAATAATAATAATAATAATACAAACTTTATAATCATTGTAAAACGTTATAATATGCGTTAAATTTTGTATATCAAGTTTAGTTAAATCATAGTCGATAACAGGATTATTATCTTTTTTAAAAAACATATATAAATAAATAAATAAAAAATAATATTAATAATTATTAATATAATTTATGTTACACATAATTGTTTACTACTACTACTAATAATAATTTAAATATATAGATATACTAAGTATATATATCAATATATTTTATTGTATAATTAATTACTTTACTTTTTTTTACTTTTATTATTATTGTATATAATTATATTTACTTACTTTTATTATTATTATTATTATCTATATTTCTACCATTAATAGTCCTATTTAATTGACAGCCGGGTCGTTTATGGGTCTGATTTTGGTTATGATAGTTGATTGGTTTGTTTGATAAATTTGATTGATTTGTTTGGTCGACAATCATTGACAGTTCAATCAAATTGTTAGTCAAACTATTATTATTATTATTATTATCTGATTTCTGATGAGATAAATCCGATAGCATTAGTATTATTAGTATTATTAATACTAATAATTGATTTAAACTAATACTAGAAAATTTCATTTTCTTATTAGTTTTTAAAAAAAATAAAATAAAGATATTAATTAATTAACATTATTTACTGTATAATTAATAGTAAATATAAAAAAAAATTAAAGTAAATTTATTAATAGGACTATAATATTTAGCAATAATTCAAGTTAATTTATTATATATATAAAAAAAAGTTATTTTAGTAATTAACAGTATATTATAGACATATATATTTTTACGTCAATTTTATTTTCATGATTTCTAATACTTAAAACCATATGTTGTATTTGTAATTGATTTTTGTTGAATAAAAATGTTATTTAATATTTAAAAAAAAAGTTAAAACTTGTATTACTTAACAAGTATTTGCTTGTTTTTTTGAAATCAATTTTTTTAAAAAAAATTTCTAATTGAATAATTAAAATACATACACTTAATATACAAAAATTAAAAAAAATAAAATAAATCATACTATACTATAAGTAATTAATTAAGTAATATTTATATATTGAAAAAAAAATTATATTAATTTATTTTATTTGTTAGTGGATATCAATAGTTTTTGGTTCAGCATTAGGACAATTGTTAACCCATAGACAGGGGAGGGGATGGGGCGTTAAACCAATTATTTAGTTAAACAATTATCTAACCACACACAGAAAAAAATTGTGATTCAACTGTTAAACTCAAAAACGGTTAAATTAAATTTTACAAAATACAATTAATAAATTAATACAAATTAATTAGCAAATTATTATATATTTTATTATTTTTCTATAAACGTATGGTTTCTGTAATTTTAATTAATTTTAACAATCGATTACAATAATAATAATAATAATAACTATTAATTTAATCAATTAATCGATTTATATATATATATAAAAGTTATTTTTGTATATTTTTAACACATTCATTGTTTTATTAATTTTTTTTAATTATGTTAAATTAATGTTAAAATATAATGTTAATTATAATAATACTAATACTGTATATAAAATACTTGTTTTCTAGTTAGTACTGTATATATACAGATATATAGTTGGTTTTAATTTAATATATTTCTTTTAGTTTGTCTCTCATTTGATCGGTTCCGACATCATTGGTCAGCACTGGATAGTAGTCTTGTTCACTGATACCGCAGTTGTTTAACTTGGATCGGGATACTCTGATAAAGCCACCTTCACCCCAATTTTCGCCCCAACTGTCCCCACACACACACACACACCCAGTCAAACGGGTATCAAATAATTAAAAAATAAATAAATAACTAATTTATTTGATATCATATCAGTGTCTAATTATACTATTATTTAAAAATCAATATCTATATCAATATATATATATATATATATATATATATATATATATATATATATATATATATATATATATATATATATATATATATATATATATATATATAAATAGTATAGTATAGTAGTAACTAATGATATACCTGTTTTTTACTATGAAATACTCGGGCGTATAACCGACAGCAACCATATAATGACTGATATTTTCGGGATCACATAATGGTTCTTCATATATACCGGATCTTAGTTTTTTGTTGTTATTGTTGTTTAAAATATATAATTTTAAAAATAAATAAATATTAATTTATGTTAATACAGTACTGTATAATAGTATAGCAATCGTAGTAGTAGTAGTAGTAGTAGTAGTAGTAGTAGTAGTAGTAGTATACCTGTAATTCATAAAATTTATGTTTGCATCAAAACTAACAGTGACCGGTCCGTGTTTATAGATAGCTGACACTAATTCATCGTCGGCTCCGGTAGTTATACGATTGACTTCTCTAATTTCGACATCGATTCCTCTATTGAAATAGCAGTTGTTCGGCTGAATGTGTTAATTGATTTATATATATATATATATATATATATATATTCATATAAATAAAAATAATAATAACATATTAAAATAATATATATATATATATAAATATAACTAACTATTCCAGTATATGGATATGCATTGTATGTATTGAGTTGATTAGCTGATTGTACATATTCAAAGGCATCTTTACTACTACCTAAAAAAAATATATTTTTAAAATATAAATATTAATTAATTAATTATTATACAGAATAATAATAATAATAATAATAATAATAATAATAATAACTATAATACAGACCTCCATCGCAACCTTCCGTTCCGTACTCTCGGGAACAGTCGATCAGATTTTGTTGACTTAAATACAATTGATTATTTGGATCAAAGTTTCCCTCATAAATCTGAACCTTCATTAGATGACCTAATAATAATAGGATAGGTTTATCAATAATAATAATAATTAAAATTAAAACAAATTAATTGATAATTTTGTTATTTTCATGTAATTTACTTTCCAATACAGATGCCGATGCAAAACTCCAACAACAACCACAATTTCCCTAAAAATTTATTTTCAAAAAAAAATTAAATAAATAAATTATATGAAAATTCAATATATAGATAAAATTATGCTATTGAAAAATTTATTATCAATATTATTGTCAATATATTAAAATCTATTATTATGAAATAAATCATACATTGCTTATTAGATAATATATTTCTCTATTATAATTTATACTCTAATATAGTATTAAAAATCATCTAATCTTATAAAAATATATTATAAGTTAGAAGTAAATATAATTATAGTTAATATCTATTACATTCTATAATAAATAGTTTATATAATTTTATGAAAAAACTTTTTATGTCAAAATTTCTACAATAATATATAAATATATCTTTATGTCTATTATTAGTTTAAATCAAGTTTACATTTATTAAATTAGTCAAAAAAATAATATATTAATGAGTCACAAATAAATATTAAATTAAATACATATATTTACTTTCTCTCTTTCACTCTCTCTCTCTCTCTCTCTCTCACTCTCTCTATATATATATATATATATACAGTATAATATACTGTATAATAATTATAAATTAGATATTTTTTGATACCTGATTTATTGATGGTGTTACTATACCATACTTTCTCCAATCCCATTCAAGTGGTATATTATTATCGTCATAACTGTTTGAAGCTTATTGTACAAAAATATATATATAATGATTATTATAGTAACAATTAATTAATTAATTAATTAATCAATCAATCAATCAATCAATCAATCAATCAATCAATCAATCAATTTGATAGCACCCGAGTTATAATATAAATGATATAAGTGATTACAGTATTATACAATATATAAATAATTTTATAAACTATAATATAAATCTTAAACAAAATTAGTAATATTTGTTATTTTTAATCAACAATAAAATAATGGGGGGATGGGAGGGGAAGGAGTTTGGTTTAAGTATTAGTTTTCAATGATCATATTTTTTAAAAATCTATATAATCTGTGGCACCGGCGGTATGCTGGCTCAGGGAGGGAAAGAGGGAATGAATGAGTGGAATATTACTTATAAAATTTTTGTCTAAAATGTTTTACATTATAGAGAGAGAGAGAGAGAGAGAGAGAGAGAGAGAGAGAGAAAGAAAGAGAAAGAGAAAGAGAAAGAGAGAGAGAAAAAAAGAGAGAGAAAAAAAAGAGAGAGAAAAAAAAGAGAGAGAGAGAAAGAGAGAGAAAGAGAGAGAAATAAAGAGAAAGAGAGAGAAAGAGAGAGAAAGAGAGAAAAAAAGAGAGAAAGAGAGAGAGAGAGAGAGAGAGAGAGAGAGAGAGAGAGCATACATACATTTAAGCATTTTATCAAATTTTATTTTCTTTGTCTTATTTCTTGCAATTGGTCTTTTAAAACCAAATTTTTGTTTTTGTATTTCTGGCCATTTCTTTGATATTTTTTTAAAAAATAAAATAATGATAACAATTTAAAAATAAAAATAAAATAAAAAAGTAATTTAACATAAAATTAAGATAATCTATAACATATATCATCCACATATATTATTTTTAAAAATATTTAAATCAAAATTAATTAATTAATATATAAATATATAGGACAAACCATATCTGACATTTCATTGATACCCTGTGTATAATGGGAACAGTCGTCGGCGTTGTGTTTATTAATCGATACAATCGTTTGCTTGAATATACCGACCCTTTCTATCTCTTCCTCTTTGGTTTTATATGTTTTGTTGAACAATGTCTTTAAATTACACAAACACCACAAAAATAAAAATATTAATTTAAATGATATTAATAATAATAATAAAATAATTTTGTTTTTGTAATATTTAACATAATAATCAAAATCAAAATAATAATAATAATAATAATACAAACTTTATAATTATTGTAAAACGGTATAATTTGTGATGAATTTTGTACATCAAGTTTAGTTAAGTCATAGTTGAGAAAAGCTTTAATTTCAGTATCATTTTTTGGTGCTAAAAAAACATATATATCAATATATATATATATATATTAATATTATAGATAATAATTATTAATATATAATTGATGGGACATAATAATAATAATTATTGTAATTTTTTTAAAATTATTTTTAAATACCTATAAAATTATTTTTTTTAGTATTTCTACCACCAAGAAGCTTAGTTGGTTTAAGTCTATAATTTTCAAATTTTCCAAATTCAAGTTTATGACGGCCGGGTAGGTTTAGGCCCAGATTTTTGTAGTGATTGTTAAGTGGTTTGTTATTAAAAATATTTGGTTTTTGATGAGATAAATCCGATAAAATTAGTATTATTGTTATTAATACTAATACTAGTAATTGATTTGAACTAATAAGTGAAAACTTCATTTTCTTATTAGTTTTTTTAAAAATTATTATTATAAATAATATTTATTAATTAACACGATTTACTGATTTTAAATGCGTTTACTTAAAATAATATATATATATATTGTTTAAATTTTTTTAAATAAATTAATTCGACTACAAAATTTAGTAATAATTTAATTAATTAATTTTTATAAAAAAAAGTTATATGTCTTTACGTCAATTTTGCAAATAATTAATAACCATATGTTGTATTTGTAAGCAATTTTTTTATATAAAAGTGTTATTTAATATTCAAAAATAAAAACTTGTAGTATTTGCTTGTTTTTTGAAATGATTTAAAAAAAAATTCTAATTAATTATTAAAAAATATAATAATAATAATAATAATAATAATAATAATAATAATAATAATAATAATAATAACTGTTAATTTAATCAATTAATCGATTTATTTATATATATAAAAGTTATTTTTGTATATTTTTAACACATCTATTGTTTTATTGAATTTTTTACAATTTTTTTAATTATGTTAAATTAATGTTAAACTATAATATTAAATATAATAATACTAATATCTGTATATATATAAAATACGTGTTTTCTAGTTAGTACTGTACAAACAAATATATAGTTGGTTTTAATTTAATATATTTCTTTTAGTTTGTCTCTCATTTGATCGGTTCCGACATCATTGGCCAGCACTGGATAGTAGTCTTGTTCACTGATACCGCAGTTGTTTATCTTAGACCGGGACAATCTTACAAAGCCACCTTCACCCCAATTTTCGCCCCAACTGTCCCCACACACACACCCAGTCAAACGGGTATCAAATAATTAAAAAATAAATAAATAACTAATTTATTTGATATCTAATCATATCAGTGTCTAATTATACTATCATTTAAAAATCTATATCAATATATATATATATATATATAGTATAGTATAGTAGTAACTAATGATATACCTGTTTTTTACTATGAAATACTCGGGCGTATAACCGACAGCAACCATATAATGAGTGATATTATTGATACAAAATGGTTCTTCATATATACCGGATCTTAGTTTGTTGTTATTATTGTTGTTTTAAATAATATATAATTAAAAGAAAAAAAATTAATTTATGTTAATACAGTACTAAATATATGTATAATAATAATAATAATAATAATAATAATAATAATAATAATAATAATAATAATAATAATAATAATAATAATAATAATAATAATAATAATAATAAGTAGTAGTAGTAGTAGTAGTAGTAGTAGTAGTTGTAGTAGTAGTAGTAGTAGTAGTGTAGTAGTAGTAGTAATAATAATAATAATAATAATAATACCAATTAAATTGCTACTCATATATACTTTCTAATATTGTATATAGTGTTAACAAAAAATTATTTGTAATTTATTATATAAAGTTAATTATTGACAGTAATGTATAGTATTAGTGATAATAAAATAATATTAATTAGTAATACCTATAATTCATAAAATTTAGGTTTGCTTCAAAGCTAACAGTGACCGGTCCGTGTCTATAGATAGCTGACACCAATTCATCGTCGGCTCCGGTAGTTATACGATTGACTTCTTTAATGTCGACATTGATTCGCATATTATTATTAAACTGGCAGTAGTTGGGCTGAATGTGTCAATTGAATTAATTAATTATATATATATATAAATATATTCATATAAATAAAAATAATAATTATTTTTCTTATAAATTACAAATGTAATTATTATTGATAATATATTCAACAACAAAAAAACATATATATATATATATATAAATATAACTAACTATTCCAGTATATGGATATGTATTGTATGTATTGAGTTGATTAGCTGATTGTACATATTCAAAGGCATCTTTACTACTACCTAATAAATATATATATTTAAAAAATATAAATATTTATTAATTAATTATTATACAGAATAATAATAATAATAATAATAATAATAATAATAATAATAATAATAATAATAATAATAATATTAATAATAATAATAACTATAATACAGACCTCCTTCGCAACCTTCCGTTCCGTATTCACGGGAACAGTCGATCAGATTTTGTTGACTTAATATCAATTGATTATTTGGATCAAAGTTTCCCTCATAAATCTGAACCTTCATTAGATGACCTAATAATAATAGGATAGGTTTATCAATAATAATAATAATTATTATTATTATTAAAATAAATTAATCTATAGCTTTAATTGAAATAAATTATTATTATTATTATTATTTACTTTCCAATACAGATGCCGATGCAAAACTCCAACACGAACCACAATTTCCCTAAAAATTTATTTTCAAAAAAAAAATTAAATAAATTATATATGAAAATTCAATATATAGATAAAATTATGCTTTATCAATATTATTGTCAATATATTATAATCTATTATTATTATTATTATTATTATTATTATAAAATAAATCATACATTTTTTATTAGTTACTATATTTTTCTATTATAATTTATACTCTAATATAATATTTAAAAAAATCATCTAATCTTATATAAAATATATTATAAAGTTAGAAATAAATGTATTTATAGTTAATATCTATTAAATTCTATAATAAATTGTTTATTTAATTTAATTAATTTAAATATGAAAAATCTTTTTGTTTGTTTGTGTGAAAATTTCTACAATAATATATATATATATATATATTATTATATAAATTTTACAATATTTTTATCTTTATATCTACTGTACTATTAGTTTAAATTAATTTTACATTTATTAAATTAGTTAAAAAATAATAAAATAATATGAGTCATAAATAAATATTAAAATAATACATATATTTACTCTCTCTCTCTCTCTCTCTCTCTCTCTCTATATATATATATATATATATATAATATACTGTATAATGACTATAAATTAATATAATTAGATATTTTTTGATACCTGATTTATTGATGGTGTTACTATACCATACTTTCTCCAATCCCATTCAAGTGGTATATTATTGTCATCATAGTTTGAAGCTTATTGTACAAAAATATATATATAATGATTATAGTAAAAATTAATTAATTAATTAATCAATCAATCAATTTGATAGCACCCGAGTTATAATATAAGTGACTACTGTAGTATACAATATATAAATAATGTATAAACTACTGTATAATATAAATCTTAGGCAAAATTAGTAATATTTGTTATTTTTAATCAACAATAAAATAATGGGGGGATGGGAGGGGAGTTTGGTTTAAGTTTTAGTTATCAATGTAATCGTTTTTTTAAAAAAAATCTATACAATCTGAGCTCAGGGAGGGAGGGAATGAATGATTGGAATAATACTTACAAAATTTTTGTCTAAAATGTTTTACATTAGAGAGAGAGAGAGAGAGAGAGAGAGAGAGAGAGAGAAGAGAGAGAAAGAGAGAGAGCATACATACATTTAAGCATTTTATCAAATTTTATTTTCTTTGTCTTATTTCTTGCAATTGGTCTTTTAAAACCAAATTTTTGTTTTTGTATTTCTGGCCATTTCTTTGATGTTTTTTTTAAAATAAAATAAAATAATGATAACAATTTAAAAATAAAATAAAAAAGTAATTTAACATAAAATTAAGATAATCTATAACATATATCATCCACATATATTATTTTTTAAAATATTTAAATCAAAATTAATTAATTAATATATAAATATATAGGACAAACCATATCTGACATTTCATTGATACCCTGTGTATAATGGGAACAGTCGTCGGCGTTGTGTTTATTAATCGATACAATCGTTTGCTTGAATATACCGACCCTTTCTATCTCTTCCTCTTTGGTTTTATATGTTTTGTTGAACAATGTCTTTAAATTACACAAACACCACAAAAATTAAATATTAATAATAATTATTATAAAATAGTTTTGTTTTTGTAATATTTAACAAAATAATAATAATAATAATACAAACTTTATAATTATTGTAAAACGGTATAATTTGTGATGAATTTTGTACATCAAGTTTAGTTAAGTCATAGTTGAGAAAAGCTTTAATTTCAGTATCATTTTTTGGTGCTAAATAAACATATATATCAATATATATATATATATATATATAAATATTATAGATAATAATTATTAATATATAATTGATAGGACATAATAATAATAATAATTGTAATTTTTTTAATTATTTTTAAATACCTATAAAATTATTTTTTTTAGTATTTCTACCACCAAGAAGCTTAGTTGGTTTAAGTCTATAATTTTCAAATTTTCCAAATTCAAGTTTATGACGGCCGGGTAGGTTTAGGCCCAGATTTTTGAAGTGATTGTTAAGTGGTTTGTTATTATTAATAATATTTGGTTTCTGATGAGATAAATCCGATAGCATTAGTATTATTGTTATTAATACTAATACTAATAATTGATTTGAACTAATAAGTGAAAACTTCATTTTCTTTTTAGTTTTATTTATTATAAAATATAATAAATAAAATATATTAATTAACACGATTTACTGATTTTAAGTGTGTTTACTTAAAATAAAATATATATATTGTTTAATAAATTTTTAATAAATTAATTGGACTACAAAATAATTAATTTAAATTAATTTATTTTAAAAAAGTTATATATTTTTTACGTCAATTTTGCAAATAATTAATAACCATATGTTGTATTTGTAAGTAATTTTTTTATATAAAAGTGTTATTTAATATTCAAAAATAAAAACTTGTAGTATTTGCTTGTTTTTTTGAAATGATTTAAAAAAATTTTACTTAATTATTAAAAAAATATATACACGTACACAAAAAAAAATTTAATTATACTGTAGTTATTAATTATGTAATACATACCCGACATATATCAGTGTCCAGCACTGGTATAATAATAATAGCATACCCTTAGACCTGTTTAAACCAATTAATTAGCCAATTATCTGAGCATAAAATTGTGACCCAACTGTTTCCTAAAACTGTGAAATCAAATAATTTTTTTCAAAAAAATATACAAACAAAATAGTTATATATGTACATATTTTTTTTATTAATTAAATTTATCATTTACATTTTAGTTAATTTACATGTTATTTTTAAAATATTTTTAAAGTAAACTAACAAAAAATAGGTTTTTGCAAATTTTCTAATGGATATATCAAAATAAAAAAAATTAATAAAAAAGTAGTCTAGTAGATTTTATATAAATTATATAATCACAAGAAAAAAACTGTGGTAGGTTATATATAATATTATTATAATTATTAAATAATTATTATTATTAATATTATATATATAATAGATAGATAAATATATTATATTATTTTATAATATAATATGTATATATAATATATATTAATTACAATTATTTTACTTGTATTCAAATAGTCTAACCATATGTTGTGTCTGGAAATGATTTTGTTTTATATAAAAAAAATAATGATATTTAATATTCAAATTAAACATAAAAGTAATTTTCGTATTTTCTAATTGATATCAAAATTTTAATTGTAATTAATTAAATAAAATACATATATAAATCTATATAAACTTAAACGCAAAACTACAGTATTATTATTATTATTATTAAGTTTAACTGTAGTTATAAACTATATAATATACAATATAAACAGATTAGTTAATTAGTTAATTATTAATAATTAGATTTTTTTAATTAGTTTGTCTTTGATTTTATCAGTTGTGATATCATTGGCCAGCAATGGATAATAGCATTGTTCAGAAACACCACAATTGTTAGTCTTAGATCTGGACACTCTTATATAGCCATCTTCACCCCAATGTGTGCCCCAACTACTCCGCCCCCCAAACCGGTATCAAATAATACAAACAAACAAAAAATAATACAAATTAATTAACAACATTATTGTTAATATTATTTAAAATCATATTAAATTGTATATTATATTAATATATATATATATGATTTAGATTATTATATAATAAATATGATATAGAATCTATATTATAGATATTATAGGCTATTATTTTGTAACTATATTATGTGTATGTGTATTATATGTATGTGTATTATATGTATGTGTATTATATGTATGTGTATTATATGTATGTGTATTATATGTATGTGTATTATATGTATGTGTATTATATGTATGTGTATTATATGTATGTGTATTATATGTATTTGTATATATTATATGTGTGTATATATATATACCTGTTTTTTATTATGAAATAGTCTGGATCATAACCAACTGCAACCACTGCATGATTAATATCACTGGCATTACATTCAACATCATTGAAAATACCGTTTCTTATTTTTTCGTTGTTTTCATATAAATTAAATTATAAAATCATAAAAATTAGAGTTTAAAAAACAATATATATATATATATATATTATAGTCATTTATTCATATAGTCATACAAATTAATAATAATATTTATGATACTTATATTTATAAAACATTGGTGTCGCGTGTATGCCCACAGATACCGGTCCGTGTTTATAGATAACAGTCGCCAGTTCCTCGTCATCGCCCGAATCAATACGTATGATATCCTTAATGTCTAAATCGATTCGCTTTTCTTTATTATATTTACAATCGACCGGCTGTTTGCAAATTAGTTAATTAATTAATTAATCTATTAGTTAGTTAATCTAATTAATTAATTTTTATTGTTTATAATATAAATCCCCACCCATATACATTTACATACACACACACTCAAATACACACACACACACACTCACATACACACACTCACATACATACATACATACATACATACATACATACATAMATACACATACACATACACATACACATACACATACACATACACATACACATACACATACACATACACATACACATACACATACACATACACATACACATACACATACAGAAACATACACAAACACAAACACATATACACACTATATAATTGTAACTAAATATAAAATATAACTAACTTTATTAATATATGGATAATCTTTAACATTATTGAGTCCTTTAATTTTCTGTACGTATTCAAAGGCCATTCGAGTACTGCCTAAATAAATAAATAAATAATAATAATATATTAAATAGGATTTAGTAAATGTATTGATTAAAAATGTAATTAATATTAAAAAACAAAATTTCTAATCATTTTCTATTTACTTAAGTTTTTATTTACTTTTTATTTCAATAGTAATTATTATTTTTTAAAAAAAGATAATAACAAAATTATTTAAAGTATTATAATAATAATAATAATAGGTTTCATACGGACCTCCATCACAACCAAGGGTTCCGAAACTAGCGGAACAGTCGATCAGATTTTGTTCACTTAATGTCAATTGATTTTTCGGATCAAACTTTCCATCAGAAATCTGAACCTTCATTAAATGACCTAATGGTTAGATTTAATTAATTAATTAATTATTATTATTATTAATAGTTTATATTAGAAAACAAAACAAAAATAATTGAATAGTTATTTTCAGGTAATTTACTTTCCAGTGTAGCAATCGATGCAAAACTCCAACAACAACCACAGGTATCCTTTAATTAAAAAAACATTTATATATAATATTTATTACTATTTTTGGTATTTTTTGTTACAATTAATAAACATAAGTATTATTATTATTATTAGTAGTAGTAGTGGTAGTAGTGGTAGTAGTGGTAGTAGTAGTAGTGATAGTAGTAGTAGTAGTAGTAGTAGTAGTAGTAGTAGTAGTAGTAGTAGTAGTAGTAGTAGTAATAATAATAGTAGTAGTAGTTGTTGTTGTTGTATTTTAATTAATAATTAAATATATATATATATATATATACCTGTATATATATTTATTTATATAGGTATATTTATAAATAAAACATGTAAATAAATTAAATTATAAGTTATACAGTAGCTTATAACTTATATCAATATACTGTATATACTTGTATATATATTGATATACAGTATATACTGTATATTATAATAAATATTATTAAGTTATAAATACTTGATGTCTGGCTGGTGTTACTATACCATACTTTCTCCAATCCCATTCAATGGGTATATTAGTATTAGTTGTATTGTCATTTGATTCAAGTGATGCTAAAATTTATAAAATATAATTACAATTAAATAGATAAATAAATAAATAAATAACAAACAAACAAACAAACAAACAAACAATTTGCTAAATAATAGACTAATAAGTAATGATAGTATAACTTATATACTGTACAATACTCAGACAAAACTATATGAACTTTTAATAGCAAATAAAACTTTTTTTTTATTAATTATTACTTAAAATTTAAAGATATTTAATGAATGTTTTGTTAATGTTTGCTGAGATTATTAATATTAAATTAAATACTTAAATTAAATCATAAAAGTGTAAAATTTTTGTTGATGTTGTTTTACAATTATTAATAATTTTTTGTTTATTTAAATTTAAAAAAAATAAATAAAAATTAACAAGTATTACTTAAATTTTTTATCCAACTATCAAATGTCATTTATATATTTTTAATTATATTATTATATTGACATTATATAACTTTATATATAATATATATATTATTTATGTTATATTTACTGTATAGTAGTTTATACATACATTTAAGCATTTTTTCTTTAGGTTTATCTTTAATTAAACCCAATTTATGTTTTTTAATTTCTTCCAATGTCTTTTAATTTATTATTTATTTCGATGACATAAAAATAAAAATTAAATAAAATATTTATTTAAAAAAAATCAATATTAATTAATTAATATATGATAGCAAATAGAGATGGGCAAATAGAAATTTCTAATAGACACTTTTAGTAAATTTCAATATGAATATATTTCAATATTTCTATAGAAATTTTATTTTATTATTATACTATTGAATCGCATAAATCAATAGCTATTGTAATACAATTTATAATACATTAATGTGACAATACACACACACACACACACACACACACACACACACACACACACATATATATATATATATATATATATACATACAAACGGGATCCCTATATACATAAATAGTTTTGTAAAATTTTATTAATCATTTAATTATATTTTTAGTTTAATATAATTAAAAAATAGATTAATTTTTACTTAAAATTATTAATTAATATACTACAACTAATAATAATAATACTTAATTATTACTTTCAAATTAAAATATAATGTTAAAGAATAACTAATATCTATTGAACTAAATTTACATGATGATCACAAAAATTTATTTTAGAATATTTCTAGAAATATTTCAATTATTTTTAGAAATTTCTCTATTATTTTTAGAAAATTCTCTATTATTTTTAGAAAATTCTCTATTATTTTTAGAAATTTCTCTATTATTTTTAGAAATTTCTCTATTATTTTTAGAAAATTCTCTATTATTTTTAGAAATTTCTCTATTATTTTTAGAAAATTCTCTATTATTTTTAGAAAATTCTCTATTATTTTTAGAAAATTCTCTATTATTTTAGTTATTTCTCTATTATTTTACAATATTCTCCTTTTTAGAAATTTCTAATTATTTTTTTGTTGCCAACCCTTATAACATATTTAGTATTTTWTATATATATGTTTGTATCAGATCATAGATTTTTATTACATTAAATACATTTTTTTAATTACTAACCATATCTGACATTTCATTGATACCCTGTGTATAATGATAACAGTCGTTGGCGTTGTGTTTATTAATCGCAACAATTGTTTGCTTGAATATACCGACCCTTTCTATCTCTTCCTCTTTGGTTTTATATGTTTTGTTGAACAATGTCTTTAAATTACACAAACAAACAAACAAATAAAAAATAATTAAATTTAAATATTAATAATAATACTAATACTAATAATACAAACTTTATAATTATTGTAAAACTTGATAATTTGTGTTGAATTTTGTATATCAAGTTTAGTTAAGTCATAGTTGAGAAAAGTATTAATTTCAATATCTTTTTTTGTTGGTGTAAAAAAACCTATATATTAATAAATAAATAAATAAATTATATATATATAGAAAAATTACTAATATAATTGATGTGATTAATAATAATAATAATAATAATATTTGTAAATTAATTGATAATAATTAAAATTTATATATATATATATATATATATACCTATAAAATTACTTTTTTTAGTATGTTTACCATTAACTGATCCACTATTTAATTTAAGTCTAATATTTTGAAATTTATCAAATTCAAGTTTATGACGGCCGGGTAGGTTTAGGGTCAGGTTCTGGTAGTGTTGATAGTTAACTGGGTTTTTCGATGAATAAGTTTGTTTTGTTTTGACGCCAATCAAATGCGACCTTACAATCAAATTGTTAGGCAAACTATTATTATTATTAWTATTAATAATATTATTAATAATATTTAGTTTCTGATGAGATAAATCAGTTAGCATTATATTATTAATATTAATTTAAATACTAATAATTGATTTGAACTAATAAGTGAAAACTTCATTTTTTTATTAGTTTTTTTTYATTTATTAATAAAATAAACATTAATTAGATACTATTTACTAATTTAAAAAAATGTGTTTACTTAAATAAAATAAAATATATATATATTTCAATACATACACGTAGACAATATTACTAAAAAAAATTATAAATTAATTATACTATATACTGTACAGTTATTAATTAAGTTTATATTTATATACTATAAATTTATATAATTTTTTTTGAGATTATTTATTTGATCGGTTAGTATCTATAGTTGGCCAGCACTGGGATATATAGCAGCTTTATTCAGCAATAGGACAGTCGTTAACACCGGGGGGGTTAAACCAATTATGTAGACCCACTATCTGACCACAAAAAAAATTATGACCCAATTGTTCCCAAACGGTTAAATCATATAATTAAAAAAACAAACAATAAATTAATACAATTTAATTAGCAAATTATTATTATTTACCAAATTTATTTGTTTTATTATTATCAGTTTTTAAATTAAATATGATTTAGTTTATTTTGTTAAATCTATAAAAATATAGATTTTTTTGTAATTTTAATAACTAAAACAATTATAATAATAACTATAAATTTAATAAATTGATTTAATTATGTTTTTATTATATTTTTAACACGTCAATTATTTTATTAAATTTTTTAAAATTAGTTAATTTACATGTTATTTAATAGTATTTTTTTAAAAAAAAGTAAACACATCAAAAACAGGTATTTGATAATTTTCTAATTAATATATATACTGTATATATATATATATAAATTAATTTATTAAAATACATGTACATCTAAAAATACAGATAGAAACTTAAAAATTGTTATTTTCTAAAAAATAGCCTAGTAGAGTTTATATAAATTTATATTATAATATTATATAATATATAATAATATCTGTAAATTTAGTTTAGTTTTTTGTTTATTTAATTTCAATTTAGTATGTCTATTATGTTATTAGGCCATCACTGGATAAAAAGCACATTTATTACATACTTAAACCGGGATAACCATAACAAAACTATTTTCACCCCTCCCCCCCAAATATATGTGTTTTGAGACTTAATTAATTAATTTTTTTTAAATTAAATATTTTATATATTTTAAAGTAAATATCTTAATTGACTACAAATAAAGTCTTATTCATATATGTTGTGGCTGTAAGTGATTTAAAAAATAAAAATAAATAAATAATTTTTTTATTGTAATATTTAAAATTACTTGTATTTTTTCGTATTTTCTAAATGATATATAAAATTTTAATTGCAACTAATTTAAAAATACACATAAATATATATATATATATATATATATATATATAAACATAAAAGCAAAACTTTATTATTAAGTTTTACTGTAGTTATAAACTAATTTATATACACTATATTATATAAATAGCAAATTAATTTTCTAATATTATTTAATTATTAAAAATTTAATATTTTATTAGTTTGTCTTTGATTTTATCAGTATTGACATTATTGGTCAGCACTGGATAATAGCATTGTTGAGATATACCGCAAGTGTTGACCTTAGACCTGGACACTCTCATGTAGCCATCTTCACCCCACTGTTTACCCCAACTATACGGTATTAAATAATTTAAATATAATAATAATACAAATTAATTAACAATTAATTATTATTATTTAAAATAATATTAAATTTGTTTTCAAATCTATAATAAAGTGTATATTAATATACCGTATATATTTGACGTGTATGTGTATGTGTATGTGTATGTGTATGTGTATGTGTATGTGTATGTGTATGTGTATGTGTATGTGTATGTGTATGTGTATGTGTATGTGTATGTGTATGTGTATGTGTATGTGTATGTGTATGTGTATGTGTATGTGTATGTGTATGTGTATGTGTATGTGTATGTGTATGTGTATGTGTATGTGTATGTGTATGTGTATGTGTATACCTGTTTTTTACAATGAAATAATCTGGATGATAACCAACTGCAACCAATGCATGATTAAGTTCACGGACATCACATTCAACATCACTATATATACCGTTTCTTATTTTTTGTTGTTGTCATTAGTTGTCATATAAATTAAATTTGTAAAATCATTAAAAAAAAAATTTAAAAAGTTTTTAAAAAATCATTCAATTTAAATAATTATATACAGTATATATATATATATTTTATAATCATTTATATGAATCATACAATTTATTATTCATTAATAATAATAATAATATTTATGATACTTATATTTGTGAAATATTGGTGTCGCGTGTATGCCCACAGTTACCGGTCCGTGTGTATAGATAGCGGCCACCAGTTCCTCGTCATCGCCCGATTCAGTACGTATGACATCCTTTATGTCTAAATCGATTCGCTTTTCTTTATTATATTTACAATTTTCCTGCTGTTTATTGAAATTTATTTGAAATTAATTAATTAATTCACTTTTATTGACTATAACATAACCCCCACCCCCTATTCAATCTATCAATATTTTAGACAAATACATAATTAGCAACAAAGCAACAATTATAAGCAATTACAATATCATTTATGACACACACATACACACACATACACACACATACACACACATACACACACATACACACACATACACACACATACACACACACACACACATACACACACATACACACACATACACACACATACACACACATACACACACATACACACACATACACACACATACACACACATACACACACATACACACACATACACACACATACACACACATACACACACATACACACACATACACACACATACACACACATACACACACATACACACACATACACACACATACACACACATACACACACATACACACACATACACACACATACACACACATACACACACATACACACACACACACATACACACACATACACACACATACACACAATTTAAAATAAACTAAAAATTATTACTAACTTTATTAACATATGGATAATCTTTAACATTATTGAGTCCTTTAACATTCTCTACGTATTTAAAGGCCCAAAGAGTATTGCCTAAAAAAATAATAAATAAAATTTATTTAAATAAAATTTTATTAAATGTAAAAATGTAATAAAAATAAACAAAATTTCTAAACATTTTATATGATAGTATTTTTAATTTCCATTTCAATTTTTAAATAATAATTAATAATAATTACTAATAATTTTACTAATACTTAATAATAATTTTAATAATATAATAATAATAATTTTCATACAGACCTCCATCACAACCATTAGGTACGAAATCACGGAAACAGTCGATGAGATTTTGTTCACTAATTTCCAATTGTTTTTTCGGATCAAACTTTCCCTCAGCTATCTGAGCCTTCATCCTATGACCTAATCGTTAGATTCAATATAATAATAATAATAATAATAATAAGCATTATATTATTAAAAAAAAACAAAACAAAAATAATTGAATAGTAATTTTCAGGTAATTTACTTTCCAATACAGAGGCCGATGCAAAACTCCAACACGAACCACAAGTATCCTAAAAAAAACATTTATATGATATATAATATAATAATAATAATAATAATAATTTTTTTGTTGTTGTTGGATTATTATAGTATATTATATAATATATCTAATAATTAATACTATTAAATGTTTGGTATTTTTGTTACAATTAATTAAAAATATTTATACTGTATATATAACAGTAAAATATTTGTATTATAGATATTTTATTAACAAAAAAAAAAGTTATCATGTAACATTTATTAACGATGACTAGACATACCATATAATCAATCTATAAATGTTTGATAATATTACAAATTTAATAAATATCAATATCAATGATAAATTATATTTTAAACTATAGATTACCCAATAAACTATTTTAAATACATACACATATTATTTTGTAATTTAATAATAAAAAACAACAATTTAATTTTTTATTAAAGTTGATAATACAGTAGGTTTGGTATAATAATAATTATTGCCAATTATATATTTAGTTTATACTGTGTGTATAAATAATAATTTATTAATAATATAATTATTAATTTTATAATACCTGAAATCTAACTGGTGTTACTATACCATACTTTCTCCAATCCCATTCAATGGGTATATTAGATGTATTGTCATTGGATGTAAATGATACTGAAATTTTAATAATAATAAATAATTACAATAACAAAAATAAATAATAAATAACAACATATTAAAAATAATTTACTAATACTAGACTATTAAGTGATAGTATATACATTACTATACTATACATTATATACCATATCTATAAAAAAAAATGCAACAAAAAAAAGACAAAAAATAATAATAATATCTTAAAATATAAAATCTAAAAATTTTGTTATTGTTGGACTGTATTAGTTGTTGCTATTAATATTTTTGTTTATTTTTATTATATAAAAAAAATCTTAAAAATTTATAAAACTGATAACAAGTATTATTATTTTTTTTAACAAAATTTTAAAAAAAATTACTATCAAGTGTTATAAACTCAGCATAATATATATATATATATATATATATAGACAATCAATTATATAATAGTATAAAAAATTATGACATATATATACTGTATAGTAGTTTATACATACATTTAAGCATTTTTTCTTTAGGATTATCTGTTATAAAACCAAATCTATGTTTATTAATTTCTTCCCACGTCTTTATTTATTTTTTTTAGTTATTTTCAAACAATTTTTATTTTGATGACAACAAATGTAAATAAATTAAATATAAAAACAAAAAAATTAGTAATAATCATAATAATTACACATATTAAATATTATTATACTATGAGCTCCAATATATATATATATATATAAATTATAGTTTTGTAAAAATTTATTACTCATTTAATTATACTATTAGTTTAATATAATAAAAAAAAATGATTTGATTTTTTTACTTTTATTATTAATTAAATTACAATAACTACTACTACTATTTAACTATTACTTGTAATAAAAAAAAATTCCAGACAGATATTTCTTAAAAAAAAAATTCTAGAAATTTTTCTATTATTTTTTATTATTTCTAGAAATTTATAAATTAATATAATTACTAACCATATCTGACATATCATTGATACCCAGCGTATATTGGGAACAGTCGTCGGCGTTGTGTATATTTATAGCAACAATTGTTTCATTGAATAGACCGACCCTTTCTTCCTCTTCCTCTTTGGTTTTATATGTTTTGTTGAAAAATTTCTTTAAAAAAAAATATTTAAAAAAAATAATAAAAATATTAATTTTTTTTATATATAATATCTATAATATTCTAACAATTAACATTATTAATAATAATAATAATACAAACTTTATAATCATTGTAAAAAGTTTTAATTTGTGTTGAATTTTGTACATCAAGTTTAGATAAGTCATAGTCGATGATAGTATTATTTTGAATATCTTTTTTTAAAAAAGCATATATATATATATTAATTAATTAATATTGAAAAATATTATAATCAATAATATCTTATAATTTAATTATAATCATAATTTAATGTAAAACAAAATTGTTTACTAATTATAATAATAATAAAATTTATATATATATTATTTTAATATTAATTGTAATTAATTTAATATTATAATACAATATATAACATACTTTTTACAGTATTTTTATCAAATATTTTAGCTCTAAGAGTAAGATTAATTTTTTGAAATTTATCAAATAATATTTTATCCCGGAAAGTTTGTTTGGTTGATTTTGTTGAATCATTTATTGATGATTGATGAGACAAATCCGATAACAATATTATTATTATTATTAATAATATTATTAATAATAATTGATTAACAAAATCAAACGAAAACTTCATTTTATTTTTTTGTTGTTGATTGTTTTATTAGTTAAAAGTTAAAGTTTTAGTTATTTTCAAATAAAATTAAACCATATGTTCTCTCTCTCTCTCTCTCTCTCTCTCTCACTCACTCACTCACTCACTCACTCACTCACTCACTGTATGTGTGTGTTGTCTGAGTGATTTGATAGCAATTATTAAATAAAATTAAATATTGAATAGTAAGGTAATATTAAACTAAATATTAAAGCTAATTAATTATTAATGATTTATTAATTGGTAATTAATTTCAAAATACATATAACTTTTTCATCAACATACTGTACATCATTGAAAACATTAATTAATTATACTATAGTAATAATTTTTTTTCAATAATAAAATAAACTACAATTACAGTAAATTTATTTATTAATATTAATATTTAGCTAATTATTTAATTTTTCTTTAGTTTGTCTTTGATTTTATCAGTTTCGACAGCATTGGTCATCACTGGATAATATGATTGTTCAAAAAGACCGCAATTTTCTGCAACCTTAGCCCTGGACACCCTTATGTAGCCGTCTTCACCCCACTCTTGGCCCCAACTGTTGTACTCAACAAAAAAAATAAAATAAAAAATAAAACAATTAGCAAATTATTATTAAATCATACAATTATATGCTCAGTTTGTTTATCTATGTGTGTGTATATATGAGTGTATGTGTACCGGATTATCCATATTATGCAATTGTTAGTAATTATTTTTATTAATTGTTTGTGTATTGTGTGTATGTGTGAGTGTGTTTGATACTAAATATACTAATATTAATATCAAAAACACCTTTTTAATAAAAATTATGTATGTGTGTATGTATGTGTGTATGTATGTGTGTATGTATGTGTGTATGTATGTGTGTATATATGTGTGTATTTGTATTACCTGTTTTTTAGTATAAAATAATCGGCAGTATAACCAACAGCAGTCATATAATGATTAATATTTTTGGCAATACATTTAGGATCTTCAAATAAGCCGTTTCTTATATTGTTTTTGTAATAAAATACATAATATAAATAAAACAAAATTAGTTAAAATAGCATTATTAAGTAATAACTAATAATTTATAAGTGATATAAACTATATTGAAATTAATTAAAATAATAATTCAAATTAAATTGATTAATGGAAAAATTTTTACTTTTCCTTGAGTTTTATTTTCAAAAAAAATAATAATAATAGTTATATAAAATCCTAAAATATTATTTAAAAATCCTAAAATTAAAAATCTTGTTTAACCCCCTCCCCCCGCCCCTGATATACTGTATATCTACCGTATACTGTATAATATAGTTTGAATTTTGAAAAAAAAATTTCTGGAACTTTTAGCTGAATAAAATTTTTGAATATAAAATTTTTTAAAAATTATAATTAAAAATTGTTTAAATACTTATAATTTTTAAAATTTTTTTTGGTTGTATGAAAGCTAACAGTAGTCGGTCCGTGATTATAGATAGTCGACACCAATTCATCCTCACTATCGATGCTTTGACTTTCTTTTACTTCAATATTAACTAATTTTTCTTTATTTAACTGACAGCTGCTGCTGACCTATAATTTTTTTTTTAATTTAAATTAAATTTAATTAATTTTTTTTATATAAAAATATATATATAAATTTGAGTAATGTCAAATAATGCGAAAAATAAAAATAGTCAATAAGAAAAATTAAATAGTTATTGTTTAGTTTGTTTTGTTTTTGTGTTGGTGTTCAAGTAAATTAAAAATAATAATTTAATATTAAATTATGTATTTTATATTTTAAAATAATAATACTAATAATATTAAATCTCTAGATTGAAATGCTAGTAAATTATTGTTATTATTATTATAATTATTATTTTTCTTTAAAATATTTTTTATGGTATAAATTGTTAAATTTATTTTTTTTTTTTAAATTAATTATTACTAACTTTATTAATATATGGATATTCTTTGTCAGTATTGAGTCCTTTACTTTCTTTAAGATAATTAAATGCCATTCGAGTACTGCCTATAAATAAATTTATTATTTATTAGTAATTTAATTGAAATAATTTTTAAATAATAAAGTTTTTGTTGAGTATTTTTTTTATTGTGAATTTAATATTAATTAATAAAAATTTTCTTTAAAATATATAATAATAATAATAATAATAATAATAATAATAACTATAATACAGACCTCCATCGCAACCCTGTGTACCGAAACTACCGGAACAGTCCAACAAATTTTGTTCACTTAATGTCAATTGATTTTTCGGATCAAACTTTCCCTCAGAGATCTGTATTTTCATTAGATAAGCTATTTGTTGGTTTTTTTTGGGGGGGCGGGGAGGGGGGTTTATATGTAAATAAAAAAATTATATTATTATTATGTATATATAAACTGTATATATATATGTATATAATTTTAAAAATAAGTTTTTTGTTTTTTGTTTGTTGTTATTATTATTATTATTACTTACTTTCCAATACAGATACAGATGAAAAACTCCAACACGAACCACAAGTTAGCTAATAAATAAAAATAAAAGTGTCAAGGTATTTTGTTGATGTGATATTTATATAGATTATAGTTTTTTTTAATTTTATAGATAATTATATTTACAATATTTTTTTTTTGATTATTATGTTTAGTTTTTTTGTGGAGATATTAAAGTTAAACATTTTTATTATTATAAAATTTTTATTAATAATAATATTTGTTAATTAAATTTGTAATAAATGGTAAAAATATTTTTCTTAAATATCAACCCCCCAAAAAAACTAAAAACATAATTATAAAAAATTGCAAATAAGATAATTATAATATATATATATATATGTATATGTAAATTAAATCAATATAATTGTTTAACATGTATATTAGTTTAATAATAAATACTTTATATAACTATGTATGATAGTATAGCTACTTAATTAACTTTATTAATTATTATTATTTAAACTAATAACTGATTAGTTGATATATGTATTTTAATTGATTTAATTGATAATATAAAAATTATTTGTTTGTTTGTAACCTGTTTTTTAGGTGGTGTTACAATACCATACTTTCTCCAATCCCATTCAACCGGTATTTTATTAGCGGGTGTTTCGGTTGCCGAATATAATGTTACTGTTAATAATAACAACAATAATAAGTTAATACTATATATATATATACCTGGGCTCAGTTATAGTATATAAAAGTAACTTATTAAATAGATATAGATATATATATATCTGAGAAAAATAGAGAGAGAGAGAGAGAGAGAGAGAGAGAGAGAGAGAGAGAGAGAGAGAGAGAGAGAGAGAGAGTATACATACTTGTAGGCAGTTTGCTTTTTTTGGTCACATTTTCTTTATTTAAACCCAATTTTTGTTTTACAATTTCTGGCCATGTCTTAACATTTTGATCAAAAAAATTTTTCAACAAAAGTAACAATAAATAAAAAATAATAAAACAAATAAACAAAAAAAATCGACTAAAATGTGCAGTAAATAGATAGCCAGTAAAAAAATATTAGTTTTTTTTATGCAGTTATACTTAATAAAAATGTTAATTTATTTACTTAATTATTAGTTAGTTAGGTTAGTTAAGGGGGTTAGTGAGTGGTTGGGTGGGGTGAGGTTGGGTTGGGTGAGGTTGGGTTGGGTTTGGGTCAAGTAATCTTCAATAAAAGTTTCTACTGACTCTCTATAATCTACATTTGTTCCGGGTAAAAAATCAATAATAATAATTATATAATATTTATAACCAAACAGTATATTAATTAATTAATTAATTTGTGGGTAAATGAGATACTATATATATATATATATATATATATATATATAGTATATATAATATTTATAATTACTAACCATATCTGATAATTCATTGATACCCTGTGTATAATGGGAACAGTCATCGGAATTGTGTTCATTAATCGATACAATTGTTTCCTTAAATATATTCATTCGTTCCTCCACTTCATGTTTGGTCTCATATTTTTTGTTGAAATGTTTCTTTAAAATAAATAAATAAATAATAAATAAATAAAATAATTTAACAAAAAAAATAGTTATTAATAATAATTTTCCATTTTAACAATTAAACAACAATTAATTTACTACTACTGTATATAATATTTAACAAAATAATAATAATAATAATAATAATACAAACTGTATAATCATTATAAAATGATACGATTTGTGTCACATTTTTCAAATCAATTTTAGTTAAGTCAAAGTCGATAACAGAAATTTTGTTTTCTAGTGAAACAAAAATTAATTTAAAATTAATTAATATTAAATAATAATAATAAAAATATTTAATTATTCTCATAATTATTTAACTAGTGTTACCCACAAAATTGTTTATATAATTATAATTATTAATTTAAATATAGTTTAAAAACTTACTTTTTAAAATTTATGTATATTATTAAACATTATTAAAAATAACTTAAAATAAAAAATATGATCATGCACATATACATAAACTATTGCTAATTAATGTATTATGTGTAAATTTAGCAAAAAATAACATAAAATATTATTATTTAAAAATTAAGCTAGTAAACTTTTTCATTCAGCCCCTTATATATATATATAAATTTTATATACTATTATAATTTCTATAATAATAATAATAATAATACAATATATATATAATATTTTTATATATTTACTTTTAGGCTTTTCAGTATTTCCAATAATTGTTTTCATATGAAGTTTAATTTCTTCAAAATTATCAAATTTTATTTTTTCGCGCTCAGGTAGGCTAAGCGGCTGTTTTAGATTAGGATATAATTTAATCGGTTCCGACTGATTAGATAAATCCAATACCAATAGTAGTATTAATATTTCAATTAGTAATTGATTTACAATAACAATTGAAAACTTCATTTTCTAATTTATTATATTTTTATTGTATTTTTTTAATTTTTTTTTTAATTAACACAATTTTTTTATTAAATTAGTTGTTTAACTAAATGCATATGTTTTATTTTATGATATTCAATTTTTTTGTACAATTTATTTTAGCAAACATTTTGTTTATTAATGATACGTACTTTACTTGTATTTTTTAGAGTTTGAGCAAATTTCCATAATTAAAATTTTTTAATAATTTTATTCACTAGACACACACAAAATATATTAAAATAWTTTAAWTTTTTTTAATAAACTTAGTGATACCGTTTTAACATGTATAYTYAAACATAATAATAATAAAATGTGTTGTGAATTTGGGGGTGGTCAATAGGTTGTAAATTTCCTATRAATTTTCCCCCACCACCCGGGAAACTTTTATATAAAAATTAATAAAAATAAAACTAGGAAGCAAAATTTGATCGGACCCTACTTTAATTTTGATACATTATTAATAAAAAAAACCATATGGTTGTATTTGTGACTATTAATTTAAAAAAATAATAAAATTTTAAAAAATTCTCTAAATAATCAAAGTTAACTTTAAAGACTTATATATATATGTATATATACTATAATAAAATATTTATTAATAATGTTGACTATTAGTTATATTACTTTTTAAATCAATTTACAAAAAAATAGTAGAATTAATAAATTGTATGTCATTTAAATGCTTTTTATACTATTTTTTATGTGATTAATATTACACAGATAAAGACAAATTGAGTTTATAAGTTATACATATATATTATTTTTTATTATTTAAGTTAATACTTTCCATAGTTTATAAACAAATTTTTTTTAAACTCGTAATAATATTTCAAAATAATTAACTTAAAGCAAGTATTAGTTTATTATTATTATATTAATATTTTTTTAAATTAGTAAAATTAGAAATTAGAAAAATTTTATTTGTAATTAATTTACACATTCACTAAAACTTTTATTAATTATATTCTAGTTATACTATTTTTTTTGTTATACTACTATATTTATATACAGTATATATATACACATTTAATGTAAAATTAATTATACTATAGTAATAATTTTTTTTCAATAATAAAATAAACTACAATTACAGTAAATTTATTTATTAATATTTAGCTAATTATTTAAATTTTCTTTAGTTTATCTTTGATTTTATCAGTTTCGACAGCATTGGTCATCACTGGATAATATGATTGAAAATAAAGACCGCAATTTTCTGCAACCTTAGCCCTGGACACCCTTATGTAGCCGTCTTCACCCCAATCTTGACCCCAACTGTTGTACCCAAAAAATAAATAAATAAAAAATAAAACAATTAGCAAATTATTATTAAATCATATAATTATATGATGTGTATGTGTGTGTATGTGTGTGTATGTGTGTGTATGTGTGTGTATGTGTGTGTATGTGTGTGTATGTGTGTGTATGTGTGTGTATGTGTGTGTATGTGTGTGTATGTGTGTGTATGTGTGTGTATGTGTGTGTATGTGTGTGTATGTGTGTGTATGTGTGTGTATGTGTGTGTATGTGTGTGTATGTGTGTGTGTGTATGTGTGTGTATGTGTGTGTATGTGTGTGTGTGTGTGTGTGTGTGTATGTGTGTGTATGTGTGTGTATGTGTGTGTATGTGTGTGTATGTGTGTGTATGTGTGTGTATGTGTGTGTATGTGTGTGTATGTGTGTGTATGTGTGTGTATGTGTGTGTATGTGTGTATGTGTGTGTATGTGTGTGTATGTGTGTGTATGTGTGTGTATGTGTGTGTATGTGTGTGTATGTGTGTGTATGTGTGTGTATGTGTGTGTATGTGTGTGTATGTGTGTGTATGTGTGTGTATGTGTGTGTATGTGTGTGTATGTGTGTGTATGTGTGTGTATGTGTGTGTATGTGTGTGTATGTGTGTGTATGTGTGTGTATGTGTGTGTATGTGTGTGTATGTGTGTGTATGTGTGTGTATGTGTGTGTATGTGTGTGTATGTGTGTGTATGTGTGTGTATGTGTGTGTATGTGTGTGTATGTGTGTGTATGTGTGTGTATGTGTGTGTATGTGTGTGTATGTGTGTGTATGTGTGTGTATGTGTGTGTATGTGTGTGTATGTGTGTGTGTGTGTGTATGTGTGTATGTGTGTATGTGTGTATGTGTGTATGTGTGTATGTGTGTATGTGTGTGTATGTGTGTGTATGTATGTGTATGTATGTATGTGTCTGTATATTACCTGTTTTTTAGTATAAAATAATCGGCTGTATAACCAACAGCAGTCATATAATGATTAACTCCTTGGGGATTACATAAAGGATCTTCAAATATGCCGCTTCTTATTTTGTTTTTTTTTGTTTTAAATAAAATACATAATATATAAAAATCAAAATTAGTTAAAATAACATTATTAAGTAACAAATTAATTTATAAGTGTGATATCAATTAATATTAATTAATGTAAAAATTTCATACCAGTCCTAAAATTCAAAATCATGTTTAAACACCCTTCCCCCTACCATGATATACTATATATCTACCATATACTGTATGTGTACTTGTATATATAAAGTTTGAATTTTGGAAAAAAACTAAATTTTTTACGAAACCTTAGCTAATTTTTTTTAAATATAATATATTTTATAATTTAAAAATTGTTTAATTACTTATAATTATAAAATTTTTTTTTGGTCGCATGAATGCTGACAGTGACCGGTCCGTGATTATAGATAGTCGACACCAATTCATCCTCACTATCGATGCTTTGACTTTCTTTTACTTCAATATTAACTAATTTTTCTTTATTTAACTGACAGCTGCTGCTGACCTATAATTTTTAAATTAAATTTAATTAATTTTTTTTTTATATAAAACTATTTGATTGTCAAATAATGCAAAAAAAATAGTCAATAAGAAAAATTAAATAGTTATTGTATTGTTTTTGGTGTTCAAGTAAATTAAAATTAATAATTTAAGATTAAATTATGTATTTTATATTTTAAAATAATACTAATACTAATAAATCTCTAGATTGAAATGCTAGTAAATTATTTTTTAAATGTTTTTATTGTTTTTTTAAATTAATTTTATGTAAAATATATTTATGGTATAAATTGTTAAATTTATTTTTAAAAAAAATTAATTATTACTAACTTTATTAATATATGGATATTCTTTGTCAGTATTGAGTCCTTTACTTTCTTTAAGATAATTAAATGCCATTCGAGTACTACCTATGAATGAATTTATTATTTATTAGTAATTTAATTGAAATAATTTTTAAATAATAAAGTTTTTGTTGAGTATTTTTTTATTGTAAATTTAATATGAATTAATTAAAATTTTACTTTAAAATTTCATTATATAATAATAATTATTATAACTATAATACAGACCTCCATCGCAACCCTTTGTACCGAAACTGGCGGAACAGTCCAACAAATTTTGTTCACTTAATGTCAATTGATTTTTCGGATCAAACTTTCCCTCAGAGATCTGTATTTTCATTAGATAAGCTATTTGTTGGTTTTTTTTGGGGGGAGGAGGGTTTATATGTAAATAAAAAAATTTATATTTTATTATGTATATATATATATATATGTATATAATTTAAAAAATTAGTTTTTTGTTGTTTATTATTATTATTACTTACTTTCCAATACAGATACAGATGAAAAACTCCAACACGAACCACAAGTTAGCTAATAAATAAAAGTGTCAAGGTATTTTGTTATATGATATTTATATGTAATTATATTTACAATTTTTTTTTTGATTATTATGTTTAGTTTTTTTTGAGGGGATATTAAAGTTAAACTTTTTAATTATTATATAATATTTGTTAATTAAATTTGTAATAAATGGTAATATTTTAAATATCCCCCAAAAAAAACTAAAAAGATAATTATAAAAAATTGTAAATATTATAATCAGTTATATATTTATGTATGTATATGTATATATAAATTAAATCAATATAATTGTTTAGCAAGTATATTATTAATAGTTTATTTATAAATAATGGTATATAACTATGTATTATAGCTACTTAATTAACTTTATTATTATTATTATTAATTATTATTATTTATACTAATAGCTGATTATTTAATATGTATTTTAATTGATTTAATTGGTAATATAATTTTGTTTGTAACCTGTTTTTTAGGTGGTGTCACAATACCATACTTTCTCCAATCCCATTCAACCGGTATTTTAGTAGCGGGTGTTTCGGTTGCCGAATATAATGTTACTGTTAATAATAAAAACAATAATAAGTTAATACTATATATATATACCTGAGATAAATAGAGAGAGAGAGAGAGAGAGAGAGAGATAGAGAGAGAGAGAGAGAGAGAGAGAAAGAGAGAGAGATAGAGAGAGAGTATACATACTTTGAGGCACTTTGATTTTTTTGGTCACATTTTCTTTATTTAAACCAAATTTTTGTTTTACAATTTCTGGCCATGTCTTAACATTTTGATCAAAAAAATTTTTCAACAAAAACAAAAATAATAAAACAAACAAAACAATCGACTAAAATGTATAGTAAATAGATAGCCAGTAGAAAAAAATATTAGTTTTTTCTATGCAGTCATACTTAATAAAAATGTTAGTTTTATTTACTTAATTATTAGTTAGTTAGGTTAGTATTGGGGGGGGGGGGAGTTAATGATTGAGAGGTTAGGGATTGTTTGGTTAGGTGGGTGGGGTTGGGTTTGGGTCAAGTAATTTTGTTTCTACTGACTCTCTATAATCTATATTTGTTCCGGGAATTAAATAAATAATAATAATAATATATATATATAGTATTTATAATTACTAACCATATCTGATAATTCATTGATACCCTGTGTATAATGGGAACAGTCATCGGAATTGTGTTCATTAATCGATACAATTGTTTCCTTAAATATATTCATTCGTTCCTCCACTTCATGTTTGGTCTCATATTTTTTGTTGAAATGTTTCTTTTAAATAAAAAATAAAATAATTTAACAAAATGTTAACAATTTTTTGTTGTTGTTGCAAATGTAATAATAATTTTACATTTTATCAATTAATGACAACAATTAATTTAGTAATAACAATAATAATACAAATAATACAAACTGTATAATCATTATAAAATGATACGATTTGTGTCACATTTTTCAAATCAATTTTAGTTAAGTCAAAGTCGATAACAGAATTTTTGTTTTCTAGTGAAAAAAAATTAATTTAAAATTAATTAATATTAAATAAAAAGTTATTTTTTTATTAAATAATAATAATAAAAATATTTAATTATTCTCATAATTATTTAACTAGTGTTACCCACAAAATTGTGTATATAATTTAAATTGGTAATTTAAACATATATATATATATATATTTAAAATTTAAGTAGTTTATTATTAAAAAATAACTTATAAATAAAAATATGATCATGCACATATACTAAACTATAACTAATTAATTTACAGTATTATGTGTAAATTTAGCAAATAATAGCATAAAATTATTATTATTTAAAAATTATACATTTCATCCAGCCCCTAATATATATTTACAATTATATTTTCTATAATAATAATAATTTTATATATATATATATATATATATATATATATTTATATATTTACTTTTAGGCTTTTCAGTATTTCCAATAATTGTTTTCATATAAAGTTTTTTTTCTTCAAAATTATCAAATTTTATTTTTTCGCGCTCAGGTAGGCTAAGCGGCTGTTTTAGATTAGGATATGATTTAATCGGTTCCGACTGATTAGATAAATCCAATACCAATAGTAGTATTAATAATTCAATTAGTAATTGATTTACAATAACAATTGAAAACTTCATTTTCTAATTTATTTTTAATATATATATTTTTAAAAAATTTTTAATTAACACAATTTTTTTTATTAAGTTAGTTGTTTAACTAAATGCATATGTTTTATTTTATGATATTCAATTTGTTTTGTACATTATATTTTACTTTACTTTATTTTTTTTAAAGAGTTTGAGCAACTTTTCCCAATAAGGAAGTTTCCATAATAAAATTTCTTTATAATTTTTTCTCTGCACACACACACACACACTTATATTATTATTTTAAATATTTTTAAAAAATAAATTTTAATTTTTAATAAACTTAGTTTTACCATATAATTATAAATACCAATCAAAAAATACTGTTTTTTAACATGTTAAATTTATATTTCAAACATCATATTAATAAAATGTGTCGAATGTTTTTTTTTTTGGGGGGGGGGGGTTATTTCAATAGTTTGTTGCAAAAGGGAAATAAATTTCCTATGAATTTTTCCGGGGGGGGGGGGGGAACATAAGGATCTTCTTACGAGGAAGGAAATTTGATCGAACCCTACTTAAAATTTTGATACATTATTAATATAAAACCTTATGGTTGTATTTGTGACTATTAATTAAAAAAAAAATTAAAAATGCTGTTATTTAATATTCAAAGTTAAAGAGTTTAGAGATTTAATATATATATATATATATATATAAAAGTTAGTACTTTTCATAGTTTAAAATACTAATCTTAATACAAGTATTATTATTATTATTATTATTTAGTTAGTATATTAAGATTAAAAATTTTATTTGTAATTAATTTACACATTCATTAAAACTTTTATTAATTATACTCTAGTTATACTAAATTTATTTTTGTTGTTGTTATGCTACTATATTTATATACAGTACATATATTGACACATTTAATGTAAAATTAATTTATATAATGTATCATTAGTTTGTCGTTGATTTTATCGGTTCCGACATCATTGGCCAGTACTGTATAGTAGGCCTGTTCACTGACACCACAATTGTTAGACTTAGACCGGGATAACCTAATGTAACCATTTTCGCCCCAATTATTACCTAAACTGTACCCCAATCCGGGTGTGTAGTATCACAACAAAGCATTAATTAATTAATTAAAATAAAACAAACATAAAAAACAAATTTAATTTTAAAAATAATAACCATTTTTTTAGTCTTAAATTTCCAATTCTATATATATTGTATTAATTTATATATAATAATAATATATACATATACCTGTGTTTTAGTATAAAATACTCGGGAGTGTAACCAACGGCTACTAAAGCAATGCTAACATTATTGGCATCACATAAGGGATCATCAAAAATACCGGATCTAATTAAAAACAAAAATAAAAAAATATAATAAAATAGATTGTGATATATAAGTCAAAAAAAATTTTTAAATTAAAAATAAAATTAATGTTTTAACACTTTATTTTTCTGACACAAATTGTTAGTTATTTGATAGTGAGTTTGCATAGTTGACTAAGGGGGGTGGGTGGCGGGGTATTCATGGAGTTTGTTAGGGTGGGATGAGAAAGGAGAGGGAGTGGGAGGCAGTTGTGTTAGCTGAGACACAGTTTATGCAGTTTTTATTGAGTTTCAAAATTTTTTTTTACTTTAACCAAATAATACATGTTTTCGGTTAAACCTAACCTAACTATGGTATGTAGAAACCTAACCCTAATTAATTATACTGTCAATTATTATCAATAGTTTAATACTTTAATTTTTTTAAAAAAATTAAAACTCTAATTAAATATTTAAATATATTATTAGATGACTATTATGTGACATAAATGTTCCCGTAAATGGACGGCCAATACATACCTATATGTTTTAAAATTAATGGTCTCATGTAGGCTAACAGTGACCGGTCCGTATGTATAGATAGCTGCAACCAATTCCTGGTCAGAGCCGGTAGTTATACGTATGATATCTTTGATGTCTATATCGACTCGTTTTTCTTCCTTATAGAGACAATTGTCCGGCTAATTGAAATTTAATTGAAAAAATTAAATAAATAAATAAATAATAATAAAATTCATTACAATTTTCTGTGTTTCAATTAGACAATCAAACATTACCATAAACTACACCCACTTATTAATTTACCTATCACCTCCAAAAAAATATCTATAATAAATATCGATTTAGCTAACTTAACAAACACACAAACATCCATATACATAGCTATATAAATTTATATACAGTATATACCCATAAATACATATCCATTCTCTCTCTTTCTCTCTCTCTCTCTCTCTCTTTCTCTCTCTCTCTCTCTCTCTCTCTCTCTCTCTCTCTCTCTCTCTCTCTCTCTCTCTCTCTCTCTCTCTCTCTCTCTCTCTCTCTCTCTCTCTCTCTCTCTCTCTCTCTCTCTCTCTCTCTCTCTCTCTCTCTAACACAATTATTACAATATTTATTATATAACTAACTTTTCCGGTAAACGGATAGTCATTGTTAGTATTGAGACCTTTAATTTCCTGAACATATTCAAAGGCCATTCGTGTAGTGCCTGAAAATAATAATAATAATAATAATCATATGTAAAGTATTATATAAATATATTTATTTTTAAAAATGTAGATTTTTTTACATTTTAAGTTTTTATTTGTTTTGTTTTTGTTTTGTTTAAATTAATTATTAGTTATAAGTTAATTGATATATAATAATAATAATAAATTTTTATACATACCTTCATAGCAACCCTGTGTACCGAAACTAGTGGAACAGTCGATCAGATTTTGTTCACTTAATTTCAATTGTTTTGTCGGATCAAACTTTCCCTCAGCTATCTGAGCCTTCATTACATGACCTAATGGTTAAGTTTATTATTAATACTAATAATAAAACTAATTATTATTATTAAAAATTAATTAATTTAAAAAAATAATAATAATTGTTATCTACTTTCCAGTGCAGAGATCGCTGCAAAACTCCAAGAAGATAAACAAAGTTTCTAAAAATAATTTTTAAAAAAAAACATTATATTTAGTATATATCATATATACAGTGTATATATATTATTATTATTATTAAAATACCTGATCTCTAGCTGGTGTTACTATACCATACTTTCTCCAATCCCATTCAATGGGTATATTAGTAGTAGTAGTAGTATTGACAACTACAGGTGGTGGTACAGGTGCTTTGGCTGTTATTTTATTTTTTTTGGTGTATCCATACAATAGCATAATAAACAAAAATGATACAACAAAAAACAAAATTAGTTTAATAATATTTTTTTAAATAGTTTAATAGTTTAAATAATTATATATATATAGGTGCTAAGTGTTAGTATATTAATAAATATAAATATATATATATAAATACAATAAAGCATTTTATCAGGCTTGTAATGTCCATTATTATTTGGTGTCTGATTAGACAAATTAATTAACGATAATAATAATAAAAATAATACTAATGATAATTGAATTGCAATAACAATTGAAGATTTCATTTTTTTTTTTGAACAAATAATTTTGTATTATTGAACACCAATTCAAGTCAATTAGTTTAGTCAGTTGACTGAAACTATTACATTATTATATAAATTATATATATATTTTTTAGCAAATTTATTAAAAGATTATAACAACCAAAAAATAATATAATATTATAATTAAATATATAATGATATTTATATATAATTTTATACAGTATTAACGTCAATTAGTTAATATTTAGTTTATAGTAGTTAAAAACCAACACATATGTTAATTGTGTAATTTTTTTTATATACAAAAATGTTATTTAATATTCAAAGTAAACTTAAAGAAACTATCAAATATTTTTTCAAAAAAATAAATAAAATTTTATTAATTTGATTACAAAAATTTTATTTGTAATCAATTAATTAAATTTAAAAAAATTACGTATAAATACATTAAAACTGTAGTTTTCAACAAAAATTATGTAATAATACTATACTACTAATTATAATAATAAAAAAATACATTTACAATAAAGCTATTAAATATATATACATTAATTCAATGAAACTTCTTTTAGTTTATCTCTGATTTTATCGGTTCCCATATCATTGACCAGCACTGGATAGTAGGCCTGTTCACTAACACCACAATTGTTATATTTAGACCGGGACAGTCTAACGTAACCATTTTCGCCCCAATTTGTGCCAAAACTGTTCACCCCCATCGATCACCGCCACATAAGAAAAAAATAATAATTAATTAATAAATAAATAAGTTTTTAAATTTAAAAAATCAATTTTTAATACTTGTTTTTGAGTATAAAATATTCGGGAGTATAGCCAACGGCAACCAATGCAACATTAATTTTATTGGCATCGCATGTGTAGTCTTCAAAAATACCGGAACTAATATTTTTGTTGTTGTTGTTTATAAAAAACAATATATATATATAAAACCAAATTTTTTGTTGTTGATAAAATAAGTAAAATGTACTAAATTTAATATTACTATTTATTTACAAAAAAAAATTAATAAAAATAAAATTGTAGTATATAACTATATGTTTGATTATGTTAAATTATATTATTAAAAAAAAACATAAATGATAAGGGTCATAATCTAAAAATCCAAAACAAAAATCTAATCTAATATAATGTTAGGCTAAATATATATATATATAATAATTTATATAAATGTATAATATATGCTAATAATAATATTAATGTACCTATAATTTACAAAGTTATCGGTTTGATGAAAGCCAACAGTGACCGGTCCGTATGTATAGATAGCTGACACCAATTCATCGTCGGCTCCGGTAGTTATGCGTTTGATTTCCTTTATGCTGATATTGACTCGTTTTTTATATTTAAAGTGACAGATATCGGACTGTAAGTGTTAGTTAATACAAAATTCAAATTAAATCCAATATAAAATTATTTAGTTACTAAAAATTTGTTACAATTACTATTTATTGTTAACTATTAACAACGCAAACACACTCATACACACACACACACACACACATACACACAAAACCACACACATACACACACACATACACTCACATATACACACTTACACACACATACACACACATACACACACATACACACACATACACACACATACACACACACACACACATACACACACATACACACACATACACACACATACACACACATACACACACATACACACACATACACACACATACACACACATACACACACATACACACACATACACACACATACACACACATACACACACATACACACACATACACACACATACACACACATACACACACATACACACACATACACACACATACACACACATACACACACATACACACACATACACACACATACACACACATACACACACATACACACACATACACACACATACACACACATACACACACATACACACACATACACACACATACACACACATACACACACATACACACACATACATACACACACATACACACACATACACACACATACACACACATACACACACATACACACACATACACACACACACATACATACACACACATACACACACATACACACACACACATACAAACACACACACACACATATACACACATACTATTAAAATTATAACTAACTTTTCCAATATATGGATAATCATTGATAGTATTGAGTCCTTTAGTTTCATTTACGTACTCAAAAGCTGCTCGAGTATAGCCTACATAACAACAAAAAAATGTAAAATGTATTTACAATTATATAAATATTAAAAATTAGAATTTTTTATATTATTATTATAATACTATATATATATATAAGTTTTTCATTTTATTTTCTATTAATTATCAATTTAAAAAAAATTAAACAAAAAATTTTATATAATAATAATAATAAATTTTTATACAGACCTCCATCGCAACCCCGGTTACCGAATTCATTGGAACAGTCGATCAGATTTTGTTGACTTAATATTAATTGTTTTGTCGGATCAAACTTTCCCTCAACTATCTGAGCCTTCATCACATGACCTAATATATGATTATTTCATTAATAATAATAATATTAAACATTTTTTTATTACTTTCCAGTGCAGTGATTGATGCAAAACTCCAAGTCGCTGAACAATTAAACTAAAAAAAAACAAAAATAAATAAATAATTTTTTTATACAGTAAATGATAAACATAACTATATATATCAGGGTTAAGCTTTGGGTGTTAAGTGAAAAAAATTAAAAAAAAATTAAAAGTAATTAACAAATAAAATTGACAATTTATATTTAAAAATTAATTATTATTATTATTATGACCAATCGTTTACCTAGTTTAAATTGTTTGAGATTTTTTCTCTCTATATTTTAGCCAACCCTATACCCACCCACCCACCTATATCAAGCTTAACCCTAATAATTACAATATACATTATAGCTGTTTGTATATATAATGTATGTATATTTATAGGGAAAATACCCGATTTCTAGCTGGTGTTACTATACCATACTTTCTCCAATCCCATTCAAGTGGTATACTAGATGATACAGGTGCTGAGTCTAGATGTGCTCATATAGGCGGTCAGTGTTAGTTGAGATAAATATACATTTAAGCATTTTATATACATCTTATATATATATCTTACCCTGGTTATAAGACAAATCAATTAACGATAATAATAATAATAATTGAATTACAATAACAATTGAAGATTTCATTATTGTTTTGTTGTTATTGATAATAATCTTTATTAATTAGTTGTTTAGTCTAAAGTAAAGTTAGTTAAGTTTATAAAATATATATTTTGTAATTTAATTCATTAGAAAATCCATTTTTTTCGTAAATTTATTATTTCATTATTTTTTAAAAAAAACATAATTTACGTCATTCAATAGCAATTATATTTGTATTATAAAATTTTTTCAAAAAACTACTATAAATTTATACTATGTTTAAAAAATTATTAACAAATATTTAGTAATATATATATATATATATATATATATATAGTATTAGAAAATACATTATTGCTATTAATAATCGTTGTTTTTTAAATAACAAAAATAAAATAATTTAAAATAAAAATTAGAAATTTAATTTAAAAAATAATAAACTTAATGCAAGTAATGTAAGATAATTTGTAAAATTATTTTCTAAATGTTATCAATTAATTGTTTTATTTATTTTCAATTAAATTAGTATTAGTAGTTATATAATAATTATGTAAAAATAATTAAAATTAATACATATATATAAATATATATATATAATTTACAGTAAAATTGTTATAATATTTTTAAATTAATTTATTTGACTTCTTTTAGTTTGTCTCTGATTTGATCGGTTCCGACATCATTGGCCAGCACTGGATAGTAGGCCTGTTGACTAACACCACAATTGTTGACCTTTGAACGGGACAGTCTTAGAAAGCCATTTTCACCCCATTTTGTGCCCCAACTGTACACATCCGGAGGTATCACCAAAAAAAATAAAATAAAATAAATGATAAAAATAAATGATAAAAATAAATGATAAAAATAAATGATAAAAATAAATGATAAAAATAAATGATAAAAATAAATGATAAAAATAAATGATTAAATAAGTGTTATAATCTACGATTAAACTAAATATCTTAATTAATAATAAATACTACTATAATAATAATAATAATACCTGTTTTTGAGTATAAAATACTCGGGATTATAACCAATGGCAAGCAATGATAGGTTAATATTATTTGCATCACATTTTGGGTCATCTAAAATACCAGAACTTTTTTTTATGTTTATAATAAAAATTACAAAATAATTTAACCAAAATAAAATAATATGTGAAAATTAATTAGAAATTATTTAGACACTAATTTTATAATATATTTTAAATTAAAAAATAATTAAGTAAATTATTATTATTATTATAAACTATGAAACATATAGTTAGTTAGTTATATATATTGTATAGTTTGTTATTGTGAACTCAATATTGGTTATCCCAATAGTATCCCAACAACAAAAAAAACTACAATAGTTTATTGAATTAGTATCCTATTATAATTATGTAGTAATAAATATGCTAATAGATTATATAAATCAATCAAAAAAAACATCATTGGGTGGGCTATATAAGCAAGATTTTGGATATTAACGGGGGGGGGGAGGTATAATGTATGGTAAAATAAAAATAATATAAATAAAATATTTGAGGGAATGGGATGCTTTTATTGTAGTTTTAAACAATTATCAATAAAATTTTCAAAAATCAGGGCTTAATGCTATATATATATATATTATATTAATAATACCTATAATTGTGAAAATTGTTGGTCACATGTATGGCAACAGTGACCGGTCCGTACGTATAGATAGCTGACACCAGTTCCTGATCAGAGCCGGTAGTTATACGTACGATATCTTTGATGTCTATATCGACTCGTTTTTCTTTATTATAGCGACAAGTGTTGAGCTATAGTTACAATTAATTTTTGATACAAAAAATTATTAATTAACTATTTATAACAATAACATCAACAACAATAACAACAAGATATTTAATAGTAACTTATATAAAAAAATTGGTTATACTGTATATATGAACCCCTACCCCTCCCCCACCCCATATCATACATTTATCAATTATTGTAGTCATTCATAAACCAATTATAATTTCATATGAATTTAGCTAGCTAATTCAAATTTAATACAAAAATTATTTTCACTTATTTATTTTCTTAATTACTAAAACATATGATAAAATACTGTACACACAAACATCAATATAATGATACGGTATTAAAATTATAACTAACTTTTCCAGTATATGGATAATCATTGATAGTATTGAGTCCTTTAGTTTCATTTACGTATTCAAAGGCATTACGAGATGTACCTAAAAAAAATAGATAATGATATGAATAATAATTATTTAATGTAATATATTTTATCCAAAAAAATGATTTTTTTTAATCATAGAAATTATAAATAATATCAAAAAATCATTATATAATAATAACTATAATACAGACCTCCATTGCAACCATCATTTCCGTAATTAGTGGTACAATCGATCAGATTTTGTTCACTTAATGACAATTGTTTTTTCGGATCAAACTTTCCCTCAGCGATCTGAACCTTCATTAGATGACCTAATAATTGGATAATAATTTATCAATAATAGTAATAATAATAATAAAAATATTGTTTTTAAAAAATTATTACTTTCGAGTGCAGCAACCGATACAAAACTCCAACACGAACCACATAATCCCTATATATATATATATATATATTTAATAAATATATATATATATATATATATATAATATAAAACATTTTTTATGATAATTTATAATTATGTTTCATATAAATTACCTGATTTTTAGCTGGTGTTACTATACCATACTTTCTCCAATCCCATTCAACCGGTATATTAGGTTGATTGACAACAACGGGTAGTGGTGGTACCGGTGCTGAAGCGTATAACGTATAAATTATATACATATAATAATATATATAACAAACAAACAAACAGTTTTATATATTTATATATTAATATTAATAAGTATTTATTTATTTTTTATCTTACCCTGGATATTATCCAAATCTGGTATATTATTATTATTATCAATAAGTTTAGACTGTTTGGACAAATCAAATAGTAATAATATTACTGATAATTGAATTACTAAAACTATTAGAGATTTCATTTAAATGTTTATATATAATAGTTTTTATTTTATTGATTATTGAATATTAGTTTAGTTAGTTGTCTCTAAACTATATATTTTGTTATTTAATTTATTCAATATAAAAATATAAATTATATTAATTCATTTAATTAATAACATAATTGTATTAATTAAAAATTTGTTTTTTAAAAATATTAATTAACAATTTACATCAATTGGCTTATTTGTTTTTTTTTGTAAATAGTTATGCCATATGTGGTAACAGTAAGTAATTTTTATTATCAATTGTTATTTAATATTCAAATTGAAAGCAAAAAAGCAAGTATTTTCTGAATTGATATCAAATTTTTATTTCTTTAGTTAAAATCATATTAAAAACACATACATTAGAAATTATATTAAAATATTATACTGTAGTTATAATAAAAAAAATTATCTAATTATAATAATACAGTACAAATATATATATAATTTACAGTAATATGTTATAATATATTCAAATTAAATTTATTTGACTTCTTTTAGTTTGTCTCTGATTTTATCGGTTCCGACATCATTGGCCAGCACTGGATAGTAGGCCTGTTCGCTGACACCACAATTGTTGACCTTTGAACGGGACAGTCTTACAAAACCATTTTCACCCCATTTTGTGCCCCAACTTGACATATCCGAAGGTATCACCAAAAAATAAAAATAAATAATTAAATAAGTATTTAATAATTAATTTAACAAAACTATTATTAATAAAATACTTCAATAATAATAATAATAATAATAATACTTGTTTTTGAGTATAAAATACTCGGGAGTATAACCAACGGCAAGCAATAAACCGCTAATCTGTTCGGCATTACATGTGATGTCATCTAAAATACCGGAACTTTTTTAATGTTTTTTTTGTTTGTTGGTTGTGTTGTTAATAAAGTTGTCGATTGTTATAATTAAAAAAAATTGAAAAATAATAATAAATATTTTAACCCAATAAAAATGTTCATATAAACAGTCAGAAATAAGTTTAGCAATTTAGCAACAGTACGAGTATACATATATTAGTAATATAACAAAATTAATTATAATAATTAAGTGGTTTAATAGGGTTTATTAAGTTATATATTAGAAATATACTCATCATTTAATGGGTGAGCTATATATTATAGGATTGCTATTAATAATAACTACCCATTAACTCATAAGTAGCCATTGCCACCCCCCTTAGTAAGTTAACTAAGCTATATATATATATATATATATATATATATATGTATGTTAGTTGTTAAATATATATATTAATACCTATAATTGAGAAATTTATTGGTCAAATGAACGGCAACAGTGACCGGTCCGTATGTATAGATAGCTGACACCAATTCCTGATCAGACCCTGTAGTTATGCGTTTGATTTCTTTGATGTCGATATCGACACGTTTTTCTTTATTATAGTGACAACTGTCGTCCTATAGTTACAATTAATTTGATACAAAAAAATTATTTATAACAACAACAACAAAATATTTGATAGTAACTTATATCTTAAATAGTATGAACCCTATCCTCAAATTTCCCACATATAATACATATATAAATTGTAGTCCAATTTCATAAACTAATTTAGTATAATTTGATAATATCAATTTAGCTAGGCTAATTATAATTACATTTTTTCAATTATTTATTTCATTAATTACTAAAAACCTATACAAACAGACACCGAAACAAATTATAACAAACTTTTCCAGTATATGGATAGTCATCGTTAGTATTGAGTCCTTTAGTTTGATTTACGTATTTAAAGGCATCTCTAGAAGAACCTAATAAAATAGGTAATAATAATATCAAAGTAATATATAATATCAAAAAATGAGATTTTTTTATTTATTAATAATTATAAATTAATTAAAATCATTATATAATATAAACTATAATACAGACCTCCATTGCAACCTTCCGTTCCGTAATGACGGGAACAGTCGATCAGATTTTGTTCACTTAATGACAATTGTTTTTTCGGATCAAACTTTCCCTCAGCGATCTGAACCTTCATTAGATGACCTAATAATATAGGATAGGTTTATCAATAATAATAATAATAATTATTATTATTATCAAAAAAAAATATTAATTACTTTCGAGTGCTTCGGCTGATGACAAACTCCAACCCGAACCACACGCTCCCTATATATATATATATATATATATATATATATATATATATATATATATAATAATAATATAATAATATATTATATATAAACCATTTTTTTGTATATTTTTAATTAGGTTTCATATATAATACTTTACCTGATTTCTAGCTGGTGTTACTATACCATACTTTCTCCAATCCCATTCAGCCGGTATATTAGGTTGATTGACAACAACGGGTAGTGATACCGGTGCTTTTAAAGATATATAATTACAATATAATATATTCATATAATAAGAATAATAGGAATAATAAATATAATTTAATAAACAAATAAATAGTCTAATATTCCTATATATATTACCCTGGATCTGTGGCAAATTTGGTAAACCATTATCGATTAGTGACTGATTAGACAAATTCAATACCAATAGTAATAATACTAATGATAATTGAATTACTAACCCTATTGAAGATTTCATATCGTTTTATTTTTTTTTTAAATTATTGATTACCAGTTAGTTTAGTTGTCTCAAGCTATCTGTTCTATGATTTAGTTTATTCAATAATAATAAAAAAAAATCTAAATTTGTTTAAAAAAAAATAATTATCAATTTACGTCAATTAAAATTAAATTATAGTTTACTTGTTTTGTCCAATAGTTAAACCATATGTCACATATGTATCATTAGTCCTATTATGACTCCTATTAGGACTCCTATATGTAGTCAAAAAACTACAGTTATATGATATATGGTAACAGTAGTTTACTACATGTATAGTGTCTAGACTTTAACGCATTTATACAAACTCATAATCTATTTAAATACATACAAATCAGGGTTTCTAAAGGTTTTCGATTTCAGGGGGGTATAGGGTGGGGTTAACAATTTTTATTACCCAATAAATTCCCAATAAATTCCCAATAAATTCCCAATAAATTCCCAATAAATTCCCAATAAATTCCCAATAAATTCCCATTAAATTCCCATTAAATTCCCATTACCCAATAAATACCAAATAAATTCCCACTAAATTTCTAATAAATTTTATTAAATTACCATTAAATTCCCATTAAATTCCCATTAAATTCCCATTAAATTCCCATTAAATTCCCATTAAATTCCCATTAAATTCCCATTAAATTCCCATTAAATTCCCATTAAATTCCCATTAAATTCCCATTACCCAATAAATACCAAATAAATTCCCACTAAATTTCTAATAAATTTTATTAAATTACCATTAAATTACCATTAAATTACCATTAAATTACCATTAAATTACCATTAAATTACCATTAAATTACCATTAAATTCCCATTAAATTCCCATTAAATTCCCATTAAATTCCCATTAAATTCCCATTACCCAATAAATACCAAATAAATTCCCACTAAATTTCTAATAAATTTTATTAAATTACCATTAAATTACCATTAAATTACCATTAAATTACCATTAAATTACCATTAAATTACCATTAAATTACCATTAAATTACCACTAAATTTCCACTAAATTCCTTATAAATTTTCATTAAAATATTCATAACTTAATTTCTCATAATTCAAAATTGGTAGGAGGCCCCATAACTTTTTGGCCAGAGTGTACACTACCCAATTAGCAACCCTGATACAAATAAATATATTCATATATGTATAATAATTTTAATTTTTTAAATACATCATTATTGCATAATAAATGCATAACATTTATAGTGTTATTTATATGTTAATAGTGTATGTAATTTAATAGTATTCAAAGTTTACATATGGTAAGTATTTTTTCTTAGTTTTTAATTGATATCAAATTTAAATATTTTAATTTAAATAATAAAAACACATACATTAAAATTACAATTATAATCATACTGTAGTTACAACAGCAACCCTACATTCAACGTCAAAAAATAAATAAACTTAATGTAAATTTTTTAATTCTTTTAAATCTTTAATTCAAAAACAAATACAAATAAAATTTATATTTTAATTAATAATTTTATAATGTAGTTATAAAAAATTATGTAAAAAATATGTATTCAAATTTGTTATCAATTAATTGTTTATTTATTTTCAAATTCAAAACAAAAGCAAATAAATTAGTATTAGTATACTGTAGTTATATAATAATTATGTAAAAATAATTAAAATTAATACATATATAAATATAATTTACAGTAAAGTGTGTTATAATATATTCAAATTAAATTTATTTGACTTCTTTTAGTTTGTCTCTGATTTTATCGGTTCCGACATCATTGGCCAGTACTGGATAGTAGGCCTGTTGACTGACACCACAATTGTTGACCTTTGAACGGGACAGTCTTACAAAGCCATTTTCACCCCATTTTGTGCCCCAACTGTACACATCCGGAGGTATCACCAAAAATAAAAATAATTGATTAAATAAGTATTTAATATTTAATTTAACAAAACTATTATTAATAGAATATTTCTATAATAATAATAATAATAATAATAATAATACGTGTTTTTGAGTATAAAATACTCGGGAGTATAGCCAACTGCAAGCAATAAACCGCTAATCTGATCGGCATTACATGTGATATCATCTAAAATACCGGAACTTTTTTAATGTTTTTTTGTGTTTGTTGGTTGTGTTGTTGATGTAGTTGTCGATTGTTTGTTAGTTATAATTAAAAAAAAAATTGAAAAAATAATAAATATATTATTGTATATATTATATATAAATTAGTAATAATAATATAACAAAAATAATTATAATAATTAAGTGGTTTAATAGGGTTTATTAAGTTTTATATTAGAAATTTAAACATCATTTAATGGATGAGCTATATATTATAGGATTGCTATTAATAATAACTAACCATTAACTCATAAGTTGCCATTGCCCCCTCCCTTTATAAGTTAATTAAGCTATATATATATATATATATAAAAGCTATATTGATATATAAATATAAGCTATATATATATGCGTGTGTGTGTTAGTTGTATATATATATATACACCTATAATTTTGAAACTTATTGGTCAAATGTACGGCAACAGTACTATATATTATAGGATTGTTATTAACAATATAACTACCCATAACTCATAAGTAGCCATTGCCCCCCTCGTAAGTTAACTAAGCTATATATATATATATATATATACCTATAATTGAGAAACTTATTGGTCAGATGAACGGCAACAGTGACCGGTCCGTATGTATAGATAGCTGACACCAGTTCCTGATCAGACCCTGAAGTTATGCGTTTGATTTCTTTGATGTCGATATCGACACGTTTTTCTTTGTTATGGTGACAACTGTCGTCCTATAGTTACAATTAATTTGATTACAACAAAAAAAAATTAATTAATTAACAATTTATAATAACAAAGAAAATGCAAAAAATTATAGTATGAACCCAACCCCCTATCCTCTCCCCAACTGCTCCATATAATACATTTGTAGTCCAATTCATAAACTAATTATATAATTTTATAATACCAATTTAGCTAGCTAATTATAATTATAAATATAATATTTATTTTTTTTAATACAAAATTTTACATATATGAAAAAAAATCGGTAGGCGCCCCCTAACATTTTGTTTTAGGCCAGGGGTAGGGATAAGATCTAAAAAATTCTCAGAGGGGTAAGATGCCTTACCCTACCCCCCTTTAGCAACTCTGAGTAAAACCCATACAAACAGACACACAAACTATGATAATAACAAATTATAACAAACTTTTCCAATATATGGATAGTCATCGTTAGTATTGAGTCCTTTAGTTTGATTTACGTATTCAAAGGCATTACGAGTGTAACCTAAAAAAAAATAATGAATGAATTATAATAATGTAATATAAATTTTTTAAAAATAAATTGATTTTTTTTCATTTAATAGTTATAAATCATTATATAATAATAATAATAACTATAATACAGACCTCCATCGCAACCACTATTTCCTAAATTAGTGGAACAGTCGATCAGATTTTGTTCACTTAATGACAATTGTTTTTTCGGATCAAACTTTCCCTCAGCGATCTGAACCTTCATTAGATGACCTAATAATATAAGGATAGGTTTAACAATAATAATAATAATAATTATTATTATTATCATAAAAATATTATTAATTACTTTCGAGTGCAGCGGCCGATACCAAACTCCAACCCGAACCACACGCTCCCTATATATATATAAACCATTTTTTTGTATATTTTTATTTAGGTTTAATATATAATACTGTACCTGATCTCTAGCTGGTGTTACTATACCATACTTTCTCCAATCCCATTCAACCGGTATATTACTATTGACAGCAACGGGTAGTGTTGGTACGGGTGCTGCTGAAGCTATTCATATTAGTAATAATAATTAAATAAATAAAATACATCAATCAAACAAACAGTCAGTTTAATATTTTACAGCTAACTGTGTTAGTATATATATATATATATATATATATCTTACCCTGGTTATTAGTTTAATACTTTACAGTTAACGATGTTAGTATATACAGTATGTATTTATTATTTATATACATTAATGTACATTTCAGCATTATATATATATATATATATATATATATCTTACCCTGGTTATTAGCCAATTGTTGTTGATTAGACAAATTCAATACCAATAGTAATAATACTAATGATAATTGAATTACTAAACCAATTGAAGATTTCATATCGCTTTAGTTTTTTGGTTAAAATTATTGATTTCCAGTTAGTTTAGTTAAGTTAGTTGTCTCTAAGCTATCTGTTTTATAGTTTAGTTTATTTAATAAAAAAAACCAAAATTTCTAAAAAAAATTATTAATTATCAATTTACGTCAATTAACATCAAATTATAGTTTACTTGTTTTTCCAATAGTAAAACCATATGTTAACATATGTATTATTAGTCCTATATGTAGTCAAAAAAAATTACTGTTATATGATATGTTGTAACAGTAGTTTACTACATGTATAGACCTAGATTTTAGTGAATAGACTTTAACCATTAACCCATAACTCATAATCTATTTAAATACATACAAATCAGGGTTTCTAAAGGTTTTTGATTTCAGGGGGGTATAGGGTGGGGTGAACAATTTTAATTCCCACTAGTCTCATTAAATTCCCATTAAATTCCCATTAAATTCCCATTAAATTCCCATTAAATTCCCATTAAATTCCCATTAAATTCCCATTAAATTCCCATTAAATTCCCATTAAATTCCCATTAAATTCCCATTAAATTCCCATTAAATTCCCATTAAATTCCCATTAAATTCCCATTAAATTCCCATTAAATTCCCATTAAATTCCCATTAAATTCCCATTAAATTCCCATTAAATTCTCATTAAATTCCCATTAAATTCCCATTAAATTCCCATTAAATTCCCATTAAATTCCCATTAAATTCCCATTAAATTCACATTAAATTCCCATTAAATTCTCATTAAATTCCCATTAAATTCCCATTAAATTCCCATTAAATTCCCATTAAATTCCCATTAAATTCCCATTAAATTCTCATTAAATTCCCATTAAATTCCCATTAAATTCCCACTAAATTCCCACTAAATTCCCTCTAAATTATCATTAAATTAACTAATAAAAATATTCCCAACTTAATTTCTCATGACACAAAATTGGTAGAAGGCCCATAACTTTTCGGCCAGGGTGTACCCTACCCCATTAGCAACCCTGATACAAATAAATATATTCATATATGTATAATAACTTTATTTAAAAAAATAAATCACATTATTGCATAACAAATGCATAACATTTATAGTGTATGTAATTTAATAGTATTCAAAGTTTACATATTGTAAGGATTTTTTCTAAAGTTTTTAATTGATATTAAATTTTTATGTTTTAATTAATATAATAAAAACACATACATTAAAATTAAAATTATAATTATACTGTAATTACAACAGCAACCCTACATTAACGTCAAAAAAAACTTAATGTAAATGTATAGATAATTTGTAGAAATTTCCATAATTTTTATCAAATTATTGTTTTATTTATTTTTTAATTAATACAAAAACAAAAACAAATACCATTTTAATTAATAATTTTTTATTGTAGTTATAAAATATATATTGAAATTAAATTTATTTGACTTCTTTTAGTTTGTCTCTGATATTAGCGGTTCCGACATCATTGGCCAGCACTGGATAGTAGGCCTGTTCGCTGACACCACAATTGTTGACCTTTGAACGGGACAGTCTTATATAGCCATTTTCACCCCATTTTGTGCCCCAACTGTACAAATCCGGAGATATCACCAAAAATAAAATAAATATAAAATAAAATTATAAAATATATATATTATAATTAAACAACAAAATATTTTATTAATAAACACTACAATAATAATGATAATAATACCTGTTTTTGAGTATAAAATACTCGGGAGTATAGCCAACGGCAAGCAATGCTGCGCTAATATTTTCGGCATTACATGTGATGTCATCTAAAATACCGGAACTTTTTTGATGTTATTGTTGTTGTTGTTGTCGATTGTTTGTAGATTTATAATAAAAATTCAAAAAAATTAACCCAAAAAAATAATTGTCAAAATAAACATAACAGTTAGAAATAAGTTTAAAAGATTACAAGTATATTAAAATAATTAAATAAATAACATTTTTTGGCACATTTTTATGATACGTTTATCTTTTGTTGAGTATTATACTAATTAATTGGTCAATTAATTGGATAATAAATTATTTATTAGATACCAAAAAATCATTGGGTGGGCTATATATGATTGAAATGGTATCCAAATATACTACCCATAACTAATAAGTAGACATTGTCCGCATAAGTTAACTAAGCTATATATATATATATGTTACTTGTTTTACCTATAATTTGCAAACTTATTGGTCACATCAACGGCAACAGTGACCGGTCCGTATGTATAGATAGCTGACACCAGTTCCTGATCAGAGCCGGGAGTTATACGTATGATATCTTTGATGTGGATATCGACACGTTTTTCTTTATTATAGTGACAACTGTCGAGCTATAGTTATAATTAATTTGATTAATTAATTAAACATTTATAACAATAACAAAATATATTGTGTAGTAATACAAACACATACATACACACACACACACACACACACACACACACACACACACACACACACTATAATATTAAGATTATGACTAACTTTTCCAGTATATGGGTAATCATTGATACTATTGAGTCCTTTAGTTATATTTACGTACTCAAAGGCATTTCGAGTATTACCTAAAAAAATGATAAATTATTATTATTAATAATAATAAAGTATTTATTAACAAAAAATTGAGTTTTTTTTCATTTAATAGTTATAAATATAATTTAAAAAAAATAACTATAATTCAGACCTCCATCGCAACCCAATGTACCGAAACTAGTGGAACAGTCGATCAGATTTTGTTCACTTAATGACAATTGTTTTGACGGATCAAACTTTCCCTCAGCGATCTGAACCTTCATTAGATGACCTAATAATAGGATAGATTTATCAATAATAATAATAATTATTATTATTATTATCAAAAAAAAATTATTAATTAATTACTTTCAAGTGCAGCGGCCGATACCAGACTCCAACACGCACCACACGGTCCCTATATATATATATATATATATATATATATATATAACATTTTATATATTTATAAATATGTTTCCATATAATACCTGATCTCTAGCTGGTGTTACTATACCATACTTTCTCCAATCCCATTCAACCGGTATATTAGTATTGACAGCAACGGGTAGTGGTGGTACCGGTGCTGCTGAAGCTATTCATATTGTAATAATAATAATAATAATAAATAAATACATCAAATACATCAATCAAACAAACAGTCAGTTTAATATTTTACAGCTAACTGTGTTAGTATATACAGTATATATATATATATATATATATATCTTACCCTGGTTATTAGCCAATTGTTGTTGATTAGACAAATTCAATGCCAATAGTAATAATACTAATGATAATTGAATTACTAAACCAATTGATGACTTCATTTTGTTTTTTTTAATTAATTTTTTTTTTGTTTATTGATCGCCAATTAGTTGATTAGTTAGTTGTCTCCTAAACGTTATGTTCTGTGATATAATTTAATTTAATTAAAATTTATTAATAGAATTACATAATTTGTATTAATTTTAAAAATTGTTGTTTTTATTCATTAGTAATTTACGTCAATTAACTATTCAATTATAGTTTTTATATGTTTTTTACCATTAGTTAAACCATATGTGTGGTTATAGTACAGTCAGTCAATAAGCATTTTATTTTTATTTATAATATATTTATAGTTTATTTTTAGTTTTAGTTTTTTTTTAATTGATGACCAATTAATTTGGTTTAGTTGTCTCTAAGCTATAATTGTTTTATGATTTAATTTATTCAATGGAAAAAAATGTAAATTTTATTAAATCTATTTTTTATTCAATTACATGATTTGTTTGTCAAAAAAAATATTAATTATAAATTTACGTCAATTAAAGTTAACTTGTTTTTTCAATATTTAAAACCATATGTGATAACAGTAATGTACTACATATAGCACTAGTCTAGTGATCAATTATGCTATCATGATAGATTTTTGAATTTAACTTGATTACGTATTTTATGCTACTGTTAATTATATACATTACTCATTTACAAATAAACTATTACTATAAAAATTATTTTTTTGTCCCATTATATTTAAAACTGTCTCAATACAAGCAAAACCAAAACAATAATGGCCATTACACAATGATACCCTATAACACAGTAGTTTATGTATATGAGCGCAGTATTATTTTGGTTTTGTTTTTTATTAATTTTCAAAACACATTTAAAATGTTTTATTAAAAAAATTTCTACCCTAATAAATTTTATGTTATATTTGTTTTATTTATTTAGTTTTAATATTTTTTGTATAATTAACGTTGCAGGGACCAATTAATAATAAACCTTTGAGAGCATCACAGCACTAGAGTCTAGTGACTAGACTTTAAGCACTGTCCTGTCCTGTCCTGTCCTGTCCTGTCCTGTCCTGTCCTGTCCTGTCCTGTCCTGTCCTGTCCTGTCCTGTCCTGTCCTGTCCTGTCCTGTCCTGTCCTGTCCTGTCCTGTCCTGTCCTGTCCTGTCCTGTCCTGTCCTGTCCTGTCCTGTCCTGTCCTGTCCTGTCCAAAACATTATACACTAATTCAAAGTAAACTAAAAGCAAGTATTTTTAAAATTGATAGAAAATTTTTATTCTGTTAACTAAATATTAATAAAAACACATACATTTGAAAATTATATTAAAATTATACTATAATTATTAAAAAAATTATGTAATTATATATAATTTACAGTAAAGTGTGTTATAATATATTCAAATGAAATTTATTTGACTTCTTTTAGTTTGTCTCTGATTTTATCGGTTCCGACATCATTGGCCAGCACTGGATAGTAGGCCTGTTGACTGACACCACAATTGTTGACCTTTGAACGGGACAGTCTTATGTAGCCATCTTCACCCCATTTTGTGCCCCAACTGTCCAAATCCGGGGGGGGAATGGGTTATCACAACAACAAAAAATAAATGAAATAAAAATAAATTGATAAAATTACAATTATTACAATATTAATAATAATAAACTAAAATATTTGTTGTGTTAATAAACACTACTATTTATACCTATTTTTCAGTATAAAATACTCGGGAGTATAACCAACGGCAAGCAATGATTTGCTAATTTTTTCGGCATTACATGTGTTGTCATCAAAAATACCTGAACTTTGATGTTGTTGTTGTCGATTGTTTGTCAATTTATAATTTCAAATTAAAATTTTATATACAGTATATATATATATATATATATATATATATATATATATATATATATATATATATATATATATGTTTTTCATTTCTATTAATTATCAATTTAAAAAAAAAAATTTAAACAACAAATTTGATATTAAAAGATATCTCGAGAATTACCTAAAAAAAAATGATGAATAATAATAATTTTAAGTAATATATAATATCAAAAAAATAATTTTTTTTTCATTAATAATTATAAATCAATTAAAATTATTATAATATAATAATAATAATAATAATAATAATAATAATAATAATAATAATAATAATAACTATAATACAGACCTCCATTGCAACCCTTATTTCCGAAACTAGTGGAACAGTCGATCAGATTTTGTCCACTTAATGACAATTGATTTTTCGGATCAAACTTTCCCTCAGCGATCTGAACCTTCATTAGATGACCTAATAATATAAGGATAAGAATATATATATATATTTATTTATTATATATAAATTATGTGATATTTTATATGTTTGTAATTATTGTTTTTATATATATATAAAAATACCTGATTTCTAGCTGGTGTTACTATACCATACTTTCTCCAATCCCATTCAACCGGTATATTAGGTTGATTGACAACAACGGGTAGTGCCGGTACCGGTGCTGCTGAAGCAGCTATTCATATAATAATAATAATAATTAATATATATATAATACAATAATCAAACAAACAGTTTTATATTTTTTTAAAAGCTCTCAGTGTTAGGTACATGCAGTATGTATTAATGTATATGCATTTATGTATTTATTATATATATATATATATATATATATATATTACCCTGGATCTGTGCCAAATGTTGTAGACTATTATCGATCAGTGACTGATTAGACAAATTAAATACAAATTAGTAATAATACTAATGATAATTGAATTACGAAACCAATTGATGATTTCATATTTTAGTTATCTTTATTATCGATCACTAATTAGTTTAGTTTAGTTATCTGTATCTAAACTATGATTTAATTTATTGAACCAAAAAAAAATAAAAATCTAAATTTGTTTATTAAAAAAAATATTAATTAGCAATTAACGTCTATTAGTTAATTAATTAAAAATATTGTTTTTTTTCCACTAATTTTTCCACCATATTTACTGTCTTTAAGTATAGACAGACCTCCCTGGCCATCATTGTCTGTATATTTGTATAACAAATGGTAAGTAATTGTAATTATTTTTAATTGTAATTTAATATTCAAAGTTTACATAAGGTTTTTCTAATTGATATCAATTTTTTATATGTTTTAATTAATATAATAAAAACACTTACATTAAAATTATACTGTAGTTACAACAGCAACCCTACATTGAACGTCAAAAAAATAAAATAAACTTAATGTAAATGTATAGATAATTAAGTAGAAATTTTCATAATTGTTATCAAATTATTGTTTCATTTATTTATATTTTAATTAATTCAAAAACAAATACAACTAACATTTTTTAATTAATAATTTATACTGTAGTTATAAAAATTATGTATAAATATATATTGAAATTAAATTTATTTGACTTCTTTTAGTTTGTCTCTGATATTAGCGGTTCCGACATCATTGGCCAGCACTGGATAGTAGGCCTGTTGACTAACACCGCAATTGTTGACCTTTGAACGGGACAGTCTTATGTAGCCATCTTCACCCCATTTTGTGCCCCAACTGTCCAAATCCGAGGAATGGGTTACCAGAAAAAAATAATTGATAAAATTAGAATTACAATTTAATAATAATAAAAACTAAAATATTTTTATCAATAAATACTACTATTTTTTTAACCTGTTTTTCAGTATAAAATAATCGGGAGTATAGCCAACGGCAAGCAATGATCGGCTAATAGACTCGGCATTACATGAGGTGTCATCAAAAATACCGGAACTTTAATATTGTTGTTGTTGTTGTCGATTGTTTGTCGATTTATAATTAAATTGAAACAAAAATGTGAAAATAAAAATAATAGTTTAAGACTTAATGAGTTTAGCTATTATATACAGTTTATATATAAATTAAAATAATTAAAATAAATTAGTATAAACTATGTAACAAATTGTTAGTAATAAGGTTATTATTATATTATAATATTAATTAACTGGTTAATGGCTAAAGTTATTAATTAGAAATATTGAATCATTGGGTGGGCTATATTGGGTATAGTTTAAGTATGGATACATATAGCTTATCCATTTGGGATAGTATTTGGGTTAGAGAGAGGTAATCAATTGTTTAGTTTATATTGAATATCTACTAAACCATATATTCAATGCATAAAAATGGTTAATAACATAATTAATATACAGTATATATTTATATATATTTATAGATAATACCTATAATTTAGAAACTTATTAGTCTGATGAAAGCCAACAGTGACCGGTCCGTGTGTATAGATAGCTGACACCAGTTCCTGATCAGAGCCGGTAGTTATGCGTTTGATTTCTTTGATGTCGATATCGACACGTTTTTCTTTATTATAGTGACAACTGTCGAGCTATAGTTACAATTGATTTTATCAACAAACAAAAATCAATTAATTAATTAACTATTTATAATAACACATACAAACAAACTATGATATGGTATTAAGATTATAACTAACTTTTCCAATATATGGATAATCATTGATAGTATTGAGTCCTTTAGTTTCTTTTACGTATTCAAAGGCATTTCGAAAATTACCTAAAAAAATGATGAATTAATATTATATAACAATAATAATAACAATAATTATTATAATACAGACCTCCATCGCAACCATGTGTACCGAAACTACCGGAACAGTCGATCAGATTTTGTTCACTTAATGTCAATTGATTTTTCGGATCAAACTTTCCCTCAGCGATCTGAACCTTCATTAGATGACCTAATAATTGTATACATTTATCATATATTATATTAGCAATAATAATTATAATTTTAAAAAAATATATATATTTATTTTTTAGTATAAATTAATTACTTTCGAGTGCAGCGGCCGATACAAAACTCCAACACGAACCACAACTTTCCTATATATTTAATATATATATATATATATATATATATTTAAAAATGTCTATATATTTGTAATTATGGTTTCAAATATAAAAAATACCTGATTTCTAGCTGGTGTTACTATACCATACTTTCTCCAATCCCATTCAACGGGTACCTGTGCTGCTGAAGCTATTATTTTTTTAAAAATAATAATAAATAAATAAAATACACAATGTAATCAAATAGACAGTTTAATATTTAAGCATTTATTATATTTATATATACAGTATATATATATATATATATATATTTATTTATATATCTTACTTTGTTTATCAGCCAATTTTTTTAGCTCCTCATAACTACTTAATTGTTGTTGATTAGACAAATTCAATGCCAATAGTAATAATACTAATGATAATTGAATTACTAAACCAATTGATGATTTCATATTGTATTTTAGTTTTCTTTACTAATGATAACCAATTAGTTTAGTTTTCTCTCTAAACTATCTGTTAAGTTAAACAAGTTATTCAATAATAATAAAAAAAACTAAAGTCTAAATTATGAAATTAATTTTTTTTCTAAAAAAATAAAAATTCATTAACAATTTGCGTATGTTTAACGTCAATCAATAATTTTTTTTCAAATATTTTCAAAAAACCACATGTGGTTAGAGTTGACAAACGTAATCCTGTCGGTAGTATTTGTATTTATTAGAAATTTTTTTAGAAATTTTATTAAAATTATAAATATTTCTATATCATTTAATAAAGTATAGATTTTACATAGATAACATATAAACAGCTATAAATTTTAACTAGGCTGATATTAAACTTGTAACTAATTTATTTTTAAAATTTACAAATAAAATATCTTAAAAATTTAATAGTATTTATTAAATTATTATAGCTTACTGACAATAAATAATCTAGACTTTAATGGTTCAATTATTTAGGTTAAAGTTATATTTATTTATGTTTATAATTAAAAGTTTATTATTGTAAATTATTTAATAATTTTAATAATAATAATTAATATGTAATAATAACTAATTAAAAAAAATTGATGTGTAATTCCTTAAATAATCCTATAGTCTATTGAATGTTCTCTATTTATCAAATTTTATTTGGCAATCCTATATGTAACTATATGTTAGTAATTTTTATTTTCAAATATTGCGTAATATTCAAAAGTAAAACTTAATTATAAGTATTTTTTTTGTAAAATTTTAGAATTAATATCAAATATATTAATATATATATATATATATATATATATATATTATAGTTAATATTAGAGAAAAACAAATTAATTAAAATTATATTTATTATACATAATCGCCGGCAGTCTACGTATGGTTGTGTAGAGTTAGCAATAATAACGTCGTATTTTATAAATATAAAAAATACACACAAAAAATAATTGCATAAATATATAATAAAAAAAATTATCAAAAATTATCAAAATTTAGTAACACATTGAATTATTATTTTCAGTAATTTCGTCATGTTTGTTATTATAAATCTTAATTAATTGAAAGTTATCGAAAGAAATTTTTTAATTATTTTTCATTATATTATTTTTTAAAACTTTTTGCATTTATTTTATTTTATTTTATTAATCAAATTATAGAGAATTTTTAATTTAATTTTAAATACTTTTATTATATAAATTTTATATTGTATATTACACTTAAAAATATTTATAAATATTATTTTTAGATTAGGTTTATTATAATATAATATATTTTAATATAATAAAACTATTTTTTTATTTATAATGAAATTATATTTAATTTTTACTAAATAATTTTATAATTATATATTATTTATATCACAAATATTTATATATATTATTTGACACAATGAAAATTATTATAGTTATTATTTATTATAGTTGTCATATTTATAATTAGTATTGAAAAATATACTTTGATTAAAAATATTTTAAAAACAAAATAATCACATGATTTACATGTGATTTTTATATAGAGGTATTTTGTATTGTATGCATAAAAGTATTTAAAATTTTTTGTGTGTTATCTTTATTTTATTTTACATATATATGTTATAATCTTTTGTGTAAATATAGACACATTTTTGCCTATGCCTAATTATACATATAGTGTAGTTATATCATAAATTTTGTAATATCATTGATTTATAATACATATATACAGTATATATATATATATATATATATATATATATATATATATATATATATATATATATATATATATATATATATATATATATAACCTAACCTAACTTTATGTATCCCCATCCCACTTTGTAGCCCAACTGTCCCCTCTCCAAAAAACGGGTACAACAAAAATTAAAAAATATTTTTTAAAAAATAAATATAGAAAAACTATATAAATTAAATATATTAAAATAAATATATAGATAATTTGTAAAAATTTGCTAATTGTTTTTTTAATAATTAGTTTACAATAAATTCAAAACAAATACAAATAAAGCTTTAAATTAAAACTTTAATTAATAATTTTACTGTAGTTATTATAATTAAAAAATTATATAAAAAATATAAATATATAAATTAAAAGTAAAAGTTATAATTTTTTAATTGATTTCTTTTAGGTTGTCTCTGATTTTATCGGTTCCCACATCTATGATATATTGATATACTAATGATAATTATTTTACTTATTTAAAAAAATAGTTAAACCTAATAAATAACAGATTGTTAAAAGTTAACACCTACAGTATATATATATATATTTTGTAAAAAATTTATTTTTAAAAAAACAAACACAGATAAGTAAGCAAATATACATACATAGCAAAAAATATATATTAGTATTTATAGATAAATAGATGAATAAGATTTTTTTTTATAAAATAAATGTTGGAAAGAAATACTACAGTTATAAATTAATACAAAATAAAACATGCTTTTTATTTTGAAATAATTTTTTTTAAATAAAAATATATTACCGGTAACTAATATTAGTAAAAGCTACAATTTAATATAAGTGATTTTAAAAAATAAAATAAAATTATATTATACATTAATATGACAACTATATATGTTTTAAATGTTTCGATATTTACAGCAACTTTATAGTGAGATTCAACAACACAATGAATATATATAAATATATATAAATTTAATTATAAATTATAAATGATTAGTGAATACGTTATAAATAAATTTATGAAATTTAATTAAGATTTATTTAGGATAAGAATAGTAATAGTAATAATAAAATATGAATAATATGTAATATTTTAATTATTAAAAAGTGTATGCATAATTTTTTTACTATTGTATATATATAAATAGTAAATGAATTATGAAACTTATATTCAACACACTAACAGTTTTGTTGTTTTAGTTAAAACCATATGTAGGTAACAGTAAGTAAATGTAAACTTAAAAGTAATGTAAAAAGTTAAACTTAATTACAAAAGTATTTAGTTATAAAGTTTCTGAATTGATATCAAATTATTTTTATTTTTTTTAGTTAAAATCATATAAATTAGAATCACATAGATTAGAAATTTTATTAAAATTATATTGTAGTTATAAAAAAATTGTAATATTATTACAAAATTATTATACAATACTTATATATACAATATATATATATAAAGAGTAAAAGTTATAAAATTTATTTATTTTAGTTTTATCGGTACCGACATCATTGACCAGCACTGGATTAATAGGATTGTTGAGTTAATACCACAATTGTTAACTTTATGTACCTCCTATTTTGTACCCCAACTGTCCCCACACCCCACCCCCTCCAAACGGGTACAACAAAAACAAAAATATGATAATAAAAATTAGCATTTAATTACATAATATATATATATATAAATATATATTGTATATAAAATTATAACCAAATAAGCAGTTAATTAATTATTAATATTATCTGGCATTAGATTTGATGTCATCTATAAAATACAATAACTTATGTACTGTTTGTTGTTGTAGTTTAATAATAAAAATAATTTTTATTTTATTGATAGTTAAATATAACAGTTTTTAAAAAAATAAATATAGAAAAATTATATAAATTTATAAAAAATTAAAATAAATAGTACTAATATTCAGATATGTTAGATTTATTAATTGATAGATAATTTTGATTAATTATAATTTTTATATATATTTATATACAGTATAATTGTTAAAATATCAATTAGTTTACATGTTTTTTTATACATACAAATAGCTAAACCATAAGTATCTGTGAGAGTAGTATAGAAAATTATAAATTAATTAAATATTTAAAAGTAAACTTAAACTTAAAGTACAGTATTTGTAATATTTAAAAAAAATTATTATTATTTAAATATTTTTAATTCTAAATAATTATTATATATATATTAAAGCTTTATATAATTATACTATAATACTAAAATTACAGTAAATTTTTATATTAAAAAAAGAAATATGAATAAATTTTTTTTAGTTTGTGTCTGATTTTATCGGTATCGATATCATTGGCCAGCACTGGATAGTAGGCCTGTTCACTAACACCGCAATTGTTAACCTTCGTCCGGGAGAGTCTAAAATAACCATTTTCTCCCCAATTTGTGCCATAACTTTACCACCCAAAAAATAATAATAAAAATAAATTTAAATTTATTATTATTATTATACAAAAATACAAAATTTTTTACATATATTGAAAATTTATTAAACTGTATATATATATATATATATATATATATATATATATATAATCATTGACAAAATAGGTGATAATGGTTTTTATTTAATGCCATAGTTTCTATATTTAATGATATTAAAAAAAATATTTAGTTTAATTAGCTAGCTCATTTAACCTTTAGAGATATTTACAATTATAATTATAACCAATAAGCTATGGCCAAAAAAAAAACAATTATCACCTATTTTTTCAATGATTTTATATATATATATATTCAATATATATTTACTTGTTTTTGATTATAAAATAATTTGGATGATAACCAACTGCAATCATAGCAACGTTAATTTTATGGGCATCACATAAGTAGTCAACATAAATACCCGATCTGATTGATTGATTGATTGGTTGATTAGATTTGTTTGTGTGGGGAGGGGTTGGGCGGCGATGGGGGTAAAAAACAAACAAATGTTAGGATAACACAAAAAAAGTATTAAAACTAATTATAATATATATATATATATACTGTATATTTATTTATTTTTAAAAAAAATAATAATACCTATGATCTACTAGTTTTTTGGTCTCATGTATGGCAACAGTGACCGGTCCGTGTCTATAGATAGCTGTCGCCAATTCCCGGTCAGAGCCGGTAGTTATGCGTTTGATTTCTTTGATGTCGATATCGACACGATTTATATAATTATAGTGACAGTTGTGATCAAACTGTAAGATTTTGAACAAAAAAGTATTATTTATTTTTTTTCTTAATTAAATGAAATTACTATAAAATAGAAATTTTTTAAACAAAAAATTACAATTGCATTGTTTGACAGTTTAGGTTAATAATTACAAACAATATATATATATATATTTATATTGTTAGTAATTATTAACTTAAACTGTCAAACAATGTATATATAATATATATATATATATAACAATAGTATATAAAAAATATATATAATTAGCTATAATAAATATTTTAAGTTTAGACTAACAAAACCAAAAATTAACAAAATAAATAATTAGACACAATTACTTATTTTAGTTAATTATAAAAATTACTAACACACACAATAATAATTATTTAATTATTATTATTATTATTATAACTAACTTTTCCAGTATATGGATAATCTTTATAAGTATTGAGTCCTTTAGTTACATTAATGTATGCAAAAGCGTTTCGAGTAAAGCCTACATAACATAAAAAAAATATATCAATATATAGTATATTTTTATTGAAAAAAAAATTTCTAAAAGTTTTTTTCCCAATAATTAATAGATTAATATTAAATAGTTTATTAGTTTATTATAAGTTATTAGTATAGTTTAATTTAATAATTTTTTTATATATAGTTAATAATAATAATAATAATAATAACTATAATACAGACCTCCATTGCAACCCATGTTTCCGAAACTAGTGGAACAGTCGATCAGATTTTGTTCACTTAATATCAATTGATTTGACGGATCAAACTTTCCCTCAGAAATCTGAATCTTCATTAGATGACCTAATAATATAAGGATAGTTTTATCAATAATAATAATAATAATTATTATTATTATTTAAATATATATATATTATTATTATTTAAATATATATATATTATTATTATTTAAATATATATATATTATTATTATTTAAATATATATATATTATTATTATTTAAATATATATATTATTATTATTATTTACTTTCCAGTGCAGAGACCGCTGCAAAACTATAACTGGCAAAACAAGAATCCTATTTAAAAAAAACAAACAAATAATATATTAATAAATTTAAAATATATTTTTTAAACATAAAATATTATATTTTTTAAACATAAAATATAATTTTTTTTAAACATAAAATTAATATTTTTTTAAAATATAAAATATATTTTTTAAAATATGTGATAAACCATAAAGTTCGGGCAACTATTCCAAGTAAGTAAAGTTCCTGAAATAAAAAACTGGAAAATAGTGGAAATGTATATATATATATATATTTATATATATATATTAATTTTCTCCCTAGCTCCAAATAGATTCCCTAGGAATTTCCAGGGGATCAGGGAAAAATTAGAGGAATTTTTTGGTAAATAAAACAAGTGGGGGGAGATTTGCCCGAACCCCTAGTTAAACATAACTTTATTATACTGTATATATATAGTATAGTATAGTACAGTACATTAGATTTTTATTTTATTTTTTATACCCTTTTTTTAGGTGGTGTTACTATACCATACGTTCTCCAATCCCATTCAAACGGTATATCAGGTTGATCGCCAGCAACAGGTAGTGGTACCGGTGCTGAGGCTTATATTCATATAATAATAATACAATACAATACAATACAATACAACAAACATATAGTTTAATTATAATAATTATATACCCAAGCTATCAGTGTTAGTTTATGTATATATATATTGATTATTTATATAAAATATAAGCATATCTTACATTCAATATAAGACAAATCCAATAGAAATAATAATAATAACACTAATGATAGTTGAATTACATTTACAATTGAAGATTTCATTTTATTTTAATTATTTATTTATTTTTATTTAATTGACTACCAATTAGTTGATAAGTTTAGTCTAAAATAACTATATGTTTTATGATTTAATTTATTCAATAAAAAATAAAAATTATTTTAGTTATTCAACGTCAATCAAATGTTATATAATTAGTTTTTTTTCCAATAGTTAAACCATATGTGGTATCTGTAAGTAATTTAATTTATTCAACAACAAAAAAATGATATTTTTTATATTCAAAGTAAATTTTTTATATATATATATATATAAAACACAAATTTGTTTGTTTCATTCAATTTTATTATTGTTTTATTATTTGAATAACATTTTATTAACATGTATTTCCTTTAGTTTGTCTTTCATATTATCGGTACCGACATCGTTGGCCAGCACTGGATAGTAGGACTGTTCACTAATACCGCATAAGTTAATCTTAGATCGGGACACCTTTATGAAGCCATCTTCACCCCAGTTTGGTCCCCAACTGTCCAAACCAAACGGATATACCAAACAAACAAACAAAACAAAATAATAATAATATATAAATACAATTTAGTTTACATATATTTATTATATTACTCTATATTTTATTATACATGTAAAATTCTATATATATATATACTGTATATATACCTATGTATATCTATTTTATATATATATATATATATACCTGTTTTTGAGTATAAAATAATCGCTAGTATAGCCTATAGCAACTAGAGCATGGTCAATTTGTTCAGCATCACATTTTGAATCTTCAAAAATACCAGATCTAAATATTTTTTGTCGTTATTGTTGAAATGGTTGAAGTGATTTCATAAATAAAAATAAATGTATAATATTATGTATAATATGTCAATCAATTATTGTATATCTAATAATAATAATAATATAAATAAATATATGCTAAAATTTTTTTTAAAAAATTTGATTTACTCATAAACTTTGAATTGATTGGTGGCGTGAAAGCCGACAGTTACCGGTCCGTACATATAGATAGCGGCCATCAGATCGTCGTCATCGCCGGACTGAATACGTCTGACTTCTCTGATATCTATATCTATGCGCTTCTGGCGATTGTATTGACAGAAACTGTTCTAACATTTTGTTTAAAAACACAATACAATACATATTATATATATATATTTTTTTTGTTGAAAAAATATAATTATATTAGATATAAATAAAAGATTGTATAATTTAAAATAATATTAATAATAATGATAATAATTGTTGAGATTATTAGTTTAGACTAATAATTAAAAAAAAAATAATTGGTTTGATTTTTGTGTGTGTTTTACAATAATTTTATTCTACTTATTTTGATTTATTTTAAACACACACACACACACACACACACACACACACACACACACACACACATACATAATTTTATTTTAAAAAATGTTTTAGATATTATTATTATTATTATTATTATTATTATATTTAGTATAATTTCAAACACAAACACACACACACACACACACACACACACACACACATACATACATATACACAAACAATTAATAAAAATAATTACTAACAATTGCATAATATGGATAATCCGGTATAGTATTTGCTCCTTTATTTTCTTTTAAATAATTGAATGCCTGTCGAGTATTACCTTATAATGAAAAATTTTTTTTGATTACTTGATAATAATATAAATTAATAAATAGTAGGTGATGGTGGTGGTGGTGGGGTTGGGGGTTAGGTGTGGACACACAGATAGGACATACCTCCCTGACAGCCAAAGTTACCAAAAGTACGGGAACAGTCTATTAGATTTTGTTCACTTATTGTCAATTGTTTTTCCGGATCAAACTTTCCCTCAGCGATCTGAACCTTCATTAGATGACCTAATAATTGGATAATAATTTATCAATAATAATAACTATTAAATAAATAATAATAATTATTATTAATAATAATTTACTTTCCACTGCAGAGGCCGCTGCAAAACTCCAACTCGAACCACAAGTTTTCTTTGAATAACAAAATCAAATAATAATTGAAAATTAAAAAATATATATTTAATATTTTCATTATATATATATTTAAGAAAAAACAAAATTCTATATAGTTTTGTAATTTTGTTTGTCTCTAAAAAAATGTTTGCCATTTAAAAAAATTTAATAAATCTGTATATATATTATATATTTTAATAGTAATTATAAAATTGTATTTTTATTATTATACTGGATATAAAAATTTATTTTTAAAAAAATTTAAATTATAAATACTTGATGTCTGGCTGGTGTTACTATACCATACTTTCTCCAATCCCATTCAATGGGTATATCTTTTTTGATATTAGATGATACCGATGCTGAGTCTATTTAAAGTAGATTTAGAAACAAGAAACAAATAAACTAAATGCTGTATATATATATGTTTTTTTTAAAAATGTTAAAACTAAAATTATTATTATTAGTAATAGTATTAGTAATAGTATTAGTAATAGTAGTAGTAGTAGTAGTGATAGTAGTAGTAGTAATAGTAGTAGTAGTAGTAGTAGTAGTAGTAGTAGTAGTAGTAGTAGTAGTTGTTGTTGTTGTTTTTGTAGTATTAGTAGTAGTAGTAGTAGTAGTAATAATAGTAGTAGTAGTATTAATAGTAGTAGTAGTAGTAGTAGTAGTAGTAATAATAGTAGTAGTAGTATTAATAGTAGTAGTAGTAGTAGTAGTAGTAGTAGTAGTAGTAGTAATCAATTATAATTTATAATTACAATTATCGCTTTTAAGCATAACGTCTTCATCTTTATCTTTATCTTTAATTAAACCTAATCTATGTTTCTTAAATTCAGCCAAAGTCTTAACAATCCAAACAAACAAAAATTAAAAATTAAAGATAAAATATATTATATTATATAACACATTAATTTTCTTTATATGGATCCGATCAGATCAGATCGGATCAAATAAATAAATAAATCATTGACAACAACAAACCAGATCTGATAGTTCATTGATTCCCTGATGATATTTGACTTTACTATTGTTGTTATGTTTTTTAATCAATTCAATTGTTTGCTTCAATAGATTTTTACGTTCATCCGATTCGTATCCATTGGTGTATGACTTATGGAAAAATGTCTATTAATTTTTATAATAAAATAATAAGAAAAAATAAAAATTATTATTATTTAAATAAAATAAAATACTAATCATAATTATATCGTAAAATAATTTAATAACTTAACTTTAAAACTATTAAAATAGGATATGAATTGACTAATATTTCCAATATTAAGTTTGGATAAATCAAAACTAAGTAAATTATAAATTTCTATGAAGAAACAAAATTATTATAATTATAATTTTAATTAAAAAATAAATAAATAAAATAAAATATTCAAACTGTTTGCCGTATCTTTCAAATAATTTTTAGCTTTTCTAAAACTTGTGAATATTGAAGACCCGAAGCCACCGGCACTGGATGTCGATGTGGTCACTGCCGTAGTAGTGATAGTAGTATTAGGAGTAGTAGTAGTAGTAGTAGTAGTAGTAGTGATAATAGTTTTAGTAGTAGTAGTTGGTGTAGTAGTGATAGTAATAATAAAATTATTATTAAACATTTGAGTCGATATACTTGTTGTCAATAAAATGATTACTACTACTAATAATAATTTAATTTTACTAATTGATGATAACATCATTTTTATTACTATCTAATCATTTGATACAAATTAGTGTTTTAGCTGACTTTATTACTAAATCAATTAGTTAAACATATGTTTGTAATTATTTTTTTTTTTTTGATATTTAATATTTGAAAAGTTAATAATTTTTATGTAGAAAATTTTATTTGTTAGCTGCTATTGGTGTTAATTACATTTAATATGCTACACACTATTTGTTAATATTTATTTAATTTACTAAAAAAAATTATATATTTTACAGTTTAGTTTAATTTTTTTTTATAACAAAAATTATAGATTTAATAACTATTATAAATTATAGATATATCTAAAGCAAAATCAAAAATTTATTAATAAAATACAGTTAAAATTGCAAACAAACAAAAATATATGTAATACCGTATATATATATAATTTATATACAATATTATAAAAATCTAACAATTTGTTTGTATAAATAAATTAGTTTTGATTACTGTATAAAAATTAATCAAAAAAAATAAAAATAAAATACAAGTTTTTTTTCGGTGGAGGGTAGGGGGTGTTTAAATTATTGTTTGTATAATATGTGTGTTCAATGTGTGGGGCCCCATCCCCACAAATCAACCAATACAATGACTACTGTAACGGTAATAATCATTGACTGAAGTCCATGTGCGGCGGTGGTGGTGGTGGCGGCGGTATTAGCACTGGCAACAGCACCGGCACTGACCAGAAAACAGTCCTTATAATCAGTGCACAGATTGCTGTCGGCGATCGCACTGGGCTTCAGTGTCGCACAGTTGGCCACATTGGTCTGAAAACCTCCGTCGGCGCACAGTTTCATCTCTTTGTTTAGCTCATCATCGGCTGATCCGTTGAAACATTGTTTAACCTATCGATTGGTGTGTTAATACATAAAACTTTTAGATAAATATTAAATGACATATAAATTAATTCAATGACATATATACTATACCATCGGTTTGAATGCACAGCTAATCTCCATTATAAAACAACACAGACTGGGATCAGCTTTTGCAATGTTGTCGTCAGGTTCGGGATGTATAACCTGTTGTCGATGCCATCGATTGCTAAAACATTTGTCCACTTTGTCGGCCGCCTGTTGACACACTTCGCTACTAGTCGGCGATCGCCGCAGCAATTGGCGATTGTCTAGACTGTTGTCGGCAGCAGCGGCGGCGGCGGTCATCGGTGGTGGTGACGACCACACCAAACAGGAAGTTGCAATCAATAGCAATAGCATTATCGGCAGCGACGGCAACACAATCGCTGACATTATATATATATATATATATATATATGTTTTTTTGTCGTTGATATAAGTCTCAGATATTTATCAATTGAAAAATACAGTTCAATACAAAAAAAATAATAACTTTTATAGATTTGTAATACAAAATTTGCAAACAAATTGGGGTTATTATACAATATTATAAACACTAACACAAAAAATAAGTAACAATAATATGCATTAATTGATTATTTTTGTGGCTGAAATTTGTGTAAACATTTTTTTAAATTGACATTTTGCACGTGAAAATAACGCGCGTGCAATAATATTATACAAAAATAATTAGATTTTTATAATTAAGTTATATATATTATTTACAATATTTAGTTAACTATAAAGTTATTACAGTATTATTATTAATAAAATCATTTATAATTCATTATGCATTTTAATAATTAATATGTAATAATATGTCGTATAAATTTATTAATTAAACCGTTATATAATTTGTTGTATTTTTAATAATATTTTTCCCTCCCCTCTCCCCTCCCCCAATGTTTTTTTAAATTTTATTTTTTAGTATTATTAATTTTTATTTGCAATTAAAGTTAACTATAAAATTATTACAGTATTATTATTATGCTATTAATAACTTATACGTAATTAACATATAGTTTTGTATGATAAATAAAAATTAAACATTTAGTAATTTGATTTTTTTTTTGTAAAAAACTAACATCAATTTTTTTTTTAAATAATATTTTTACTTAAACATAATATTACTAAAACATAAAAATTAATACTGATAATACATTTTTAATTTATTAAATAATTTAAAAAAAAATACTGTATGTAATCATACTAATAAAGTTTATAAAGTACATTAATAAATAATTAAGTGAATAAAAAAAATATTTAAAATTTGATCCTGGACACTAACTTGTAATTTGGGAAAACTCAATTGAATTTACCACGGTTACTTTTTTTTGGGAGGGGGGTCATATTATTGATAACTATAATAATTTTATAGTTAAACAACAAACTACAGTACATATTAAACCAAAACAAAAAATAAATAAATAAAAATATTATGAAATAAAACAATTCAAATAAACAAACAAAAAATGTTTACAATTACTATTTCACTAATAATAATAACATTTTTTTCAAAGAAAAAAAAATTAATAATAAAATTGTGTTCAAAAAAAATTTTTTAAATAGTTTTTTTTGAACAAAAATTAATTAATATTTTGTTTTTGTTTTTCAAAAAATTATTTTTCCTTTTTCTCCTCAAAATCCGGTCTTCCCGTTGAATAGTTTTTATAGTCAAAGTCGACAAATGAGATCAACTTTTCGCGTTTGTTTTGCCAACCGTTCCACGGCTCCGGATTAGTGGTCGACCAAATAGTATCCGGATTACGTATCTTGTGGACAGTCATATAGATGATCATCGACGGTGCACAGCCAAAGGCAAACACCAGTAGCGGCCAAATGGCATAGTTTTTGCGCAAACCTTTCCATATGAGATGCCTGTCCCGGACCAGATTCATACGCATATGTCCATAGGTTGCTTCGGTAGTATCCTTGACCTGTTGTTTGGGTGATGACATATTGTCTAACCTTTCCCCGCACACCCTTTCCTATTACACACACACACACACATAATATCAGTGAATAATTGATTACTGACTCTAATTTTATTTACACAAACAAAAAAAATAATATCAAAAAAACTCTTTTAGTTTGTATTTATCGTAAATTTATTTTCAGTTTATTTTTTTAAAAATAAATAATTAAATCATAATATTATTTTAGTATCAATTAGTTACAAAGTTATTAATTAATTAATTAATTTTTGTGAATGTAATAAATTATTAATTTAAGTATTTATTTAAACAAATATAATACACTAGTAATTAGTTATTATTAATAGATTTTTTTCAAAGTAAAACTGATTGTATAATTAATAATAATATTATTTATTTATTTTTTTCAAAAAATAATAAACTGAAAATAAATTTACGGTAAATACAAACTAAAAGAGTTTTTTAAAAAATATTTTTTGTTTTTGTGTAAATAAAATTAGAGTTATTAATCAATTAATTAATTAATTAAAAATAATTAAATAAAATGCAATTAACTCACCAAAAAACAAACAAATTGGTTAATGAAATTAATTATATATAACAAAAAATCCAGTAATTGTATCGATCGATGGCTTCAATTATGTTGTATAATATAATTGTCTAAAGATATATCAATGACTACATACATACACACATATATACATTGATTAGATACCGTTTTCCCAAATAAATGTCAAACATATAAGTGCTAAATAAAAATGTAATACCTTTTCACTAACTCAGACTCTCTCTCTCTCTCTCACTCTCTCTCTCTCTCTCTCTCTCTAATTGATAGTTATGATGACTATATCCAGGTTACAGAGATATTTTAAGTAGATTTGTAATTATAAATAATAATGATAGAGTAGATTAATAATAATATATATATTTATTATTATTATTATTATTATTAACTTATTTAATCAGTAATTAATCCGAGCACAAAAAAAAATTGCACATAAAATTAAATTACAGTATATTTCAAGTATCAAATGATAATTTGAACAACAAAATTAAGTAGCAATTGATAAACAATTACAATAAATGTTTTTTTTATAAAATAAAAATTCATTAAATATTTTTGTGTGATTTGATTATTTTTTTATCATTTATTGATAATTGTTTCTAATATTCTGAATATTATTTCATATATAGTTATTTAACAACCAAACAAAAATGCAATAATTTATAGCAAATATAGTATTTATTTATTTTTTTTCAAACAAAACAATAAGTTTTAAAAATAAAGTCTTGAAATATGTATTATTTTTTTAACTGAAACTAAAAACATCTATTATATCGATATCTAACAGCAAACTGTTATATATATATAATATTTATTTTTATTTTATTGTTTTTACATATATAGTAAACGTGTATTATATTTAGATATATGTATACTATATATATATACATATTACTCCTTAATATGCAATTTCCCAATAAATGTTTATTTTTCTAATGAAAATATTTTTCGCTTAATGTAATCATCAATATTCATGTATATTATATTCATAACATTTTTGTTTTATAGATGTAAATTGAATTAATTCCCTCCTATTTTTTCCATAGATATTTCCTACTATAAAATTAGTTAAAATTATTTTTTTGTAGTTATAAAATTAATTTTTTTATAGATAAAAAAATTTATTAATAATATTATAAATATATTTATTGATATAATCTAAGTTATTATTAATATAAAACATTTATTTTTAAAAATCTATTTTATTGTAAAATTCATTGGGAACTTATATGAAAAGTTTCTCAACTATTGCTAACACTAAATAGATAAAAAGTTTACAATTTTGGGGGTTTTTAATTATGCCAATATAAAACAATAGATGGCAGTATATGGCAACATGAAAATTTTTCAATGTATATATTATTATTGATACAGTATAGTCAATAAACAATAGACTTAAATCTAATATAAACCTAAATCTAACCTAAATTTAAACCTAATCCTCGTAACTAGCGCGCTACCGCGCGCCATCCACTTAACCTAACCTAAACTAACTAAACCTAATATTTAAGTGAATTTACTATTAATTTATTAGACTGTTTAATACTAATTACTAATAGACTATATGTATCTAAACTATACTGTATTATACTGTAWTATGCTAATTTAGCAACATAATCTATTGATGAACCGTATAAATGGTYCCTTATACAATATGAGTTATACTAACAATAATGCTTATACGGATTTATATAGTATAATGTAGATCAGCCCAATTTTGTTGCTATTTATGTTTATCAGACACTAGATTGACGATCACGTAGACCTTAGCTATACTCTATATATTGATATATATATATATACAGTATATATATATATATACAGTATATATATATATATATATATATACAGTATATATACGTATATATATGTATATTAAAATTGTAAAAATGTACACTACTTTATAAGTATCTATATATAATATAAGTATATATATATATATTTATAATTTATGTGTGTGTGTTTAAGTTGAAAGTAAAAGTTATATAATTAATTATATATACCTAAATATATTATATGAAAGTGCAATAAACAAAATGTTTTCCATAATGTTTACATAGTGTACAGTATTTATGATATTTATTTTAAAGATATATGTTAATTAAAATTATGAATTATGGCAATAATGAAATTTATTGGCAATAGTTTTATTTTGTGTAGAAATAGAAATTTTCCAAATTAATTACATTTGTAATAAATTATTTATATATATAATTTTACATGGTTAAATAAATTTATAAAATATAGATTATTATTTTTTTATACTATTATTTAGATTTTATCAAACATTTCTACAGCGCTTATCAATTGTAATAATAATAATAAAAAAAGCTTTTAGTTTAATGATTTTTTTTAATTGCATTTTATATATACATTTAATATTATCGTGTCGTATATTATATGTATATATGGTAAAGTATATTAAAAAATATTTTTTAAATTGCAATTATTATTGTGTAATAAAATATGTAATATACAAGTACTAAATTTTTGTAATTTTTATAATTTGATTCACTTTATAAATACATAAATCATATAACAACATAAAATTTATACTGGGTATATTATAATAAATAAAAACAATTTTATAGACGCATTTCATAATGACATAGTTGGGCTATTTATATAAATTATATAAATTACATAAATATACAATTTTAAAGCTATATAAACTACACTGATTCATCATTTAGTGATTTTAAATCTAATATCATAAGTAGATATATATTTAAATATATTATACGGTATTAATAAAAATTAAAAAATACTAGTTTTTAAAATCTATTTGAATCAATCTATTTACTCTCTCTCTCTCTCTCTCTCTCTCTCTCTCTCTCTCTCTCTCTCTCTCTCTCTCTCTCTCTCTATCTATCTATCTTTCTCTCTCTCACTCTCTCTCTCTCTCTCTCTCTCTCTCTCTCAACATTTATACACAATAAAGTTAAATATCATATTAAAAAAAACTATATATAACTTAATCATAAGTGAAATTTATATTAGAAATAATAGTTTTCTTATATGTTATAACTTATAAATGTATAAATGTATAATTGAAAATTTCAGTAAATAAAATTACTAAATGTTATAATTATTTAATTTAATAATAATAATAATTATTATTATTATTTTACAATATTATTATAATAAAGTTTACTACAATTTTATGAATGACAGTTATTTTATAACTTGTTACTATACTAATAAATGATTCAAGTAGTTAAACATTATATATATATAAATTATATATATATATATTATTTTTTAGTTATCTATTAATATTACACTTTATTAACTTTAAAATAGCAATAATAATATTATTATTACATAGTATTACTAATATTAAAATTTTTAAAACATAAGTTTTTAATATTAGATTAATATTTCAAATAATTCAATATTGTTTATAAAAATATTAGTTTAAAACATAAATATATTTTATATATTATTAAATTAAAATTAATAATGATTCATATATTTAAAAAAAAATTATTAGTAGACAAATGTATTATAGTTTAATTTATTATAATAAAAATTCATTTAATTATTTAATTATTGATTTTGTTAATTTACTACAATAATAATCATCATAAAATTTACTAATTATTTAATAAATTGTAAAACATGAGTAGGTTTTCCCATAATTATTATCAAATTTTTTATTATTTATTTAGCACTTAAAAAACAATTAACTAACTAATCATATCATTACTTATTAATATTTAGGAGTGTGTGTGTGTTATCAACAATAAATTAATTTTTAAAAAAATAAATTGTTTATTAATTGATGATTAATTAATTATAAGGTTTTATTTTCTGATGTTATTATATACAAATAATAAGTTTTAATATATTATAAACAGTTTTGAATAGATTTCCTATTTTCAAGTATAAAAAAATCATAAGTTATAGTTAAAAACATTTTTTTTTTTAATTATAACAACTTTCTAATATTAAGGTAAAGTATTTTTTTAAAAAACAATTTATTCATAATAATAATAATATACAAGTTTTGTTGTAATTTTTTTTTGGTTAAAACAAAATGTTTTAAAATATATAATATTAGTAATAATAACTACCAGTGCATCACCACAACCACCAGTGCCTACTAGTGCTTGTTTAGTAAAATATATGTCTAATAGTATTATATATAGTTAGTAGGGTGTTCCCATCACTTATATGAGCTGTATTGAGAGAGAGAGGGGATAGCTCATGAAACCTACCAGTGCTCAAAATGAGCCCTCACCATTATGTAAATAATACATTCAAAAAATATAAAAATAAAAAATAATATTATAGCTAAAAAAAATACTAAAGTATGATATGGAAAAAATATTGACAACTGTTTTATTATTAATACTAAAAAAATCCTTAAAAACAATATAATAATAATTAATTACAATGATTACATGATTTTTTTCAATTTTTTTTAAAAAATATGAGCTAGTTAATTAGCTATTTTTAATATTACAATTTTTTTATATATTTAAATATGTAATGTGTTTTTATATTATTATTTTTTTAAATTTAAATTTATTTATTTAATTTGTTGACCAATCAATCAAACAATCAACGAAAAAAAATGTCTTACAGTAATATACCGCTAGTAGTTATGGCCAACAGTCCAGTAGCCGGTGATACATATAGTCCACTCGTAAGTATAGTTATATTTATAGCTAACTGTCCTTAAATTATTTTTTTGTTGCTGTCATATGATTTTAATTTAGTTTAATGTATTTTTTTATATTGTTATAAACATATATTTTATGTTTATAGTATAATAATAACTTATTGTTATTAGAAATTATTAGCTAGTTAATTAATAAGTTAGTAAATTCATAAATATTTTATTTATAATTGAAAACAAAAATAATTTAAAAAATATTTTATATTGTAGTCAAAAATTTTTATTTTTTATCACTTAATTTGTTCAGTGATTTATTTATTTTAAACTATCAATAAAATAGTAAATTGTATTTTATTTGTTATCAATAACATAGGGATTAGTTGACTAAATGATTATATAATATTTTTTTTAAAAAATTATCTTAAATTAAAAACTTCCTTAATTTGATTAAGTATTTATTAAGTATTTTTTTGTCACTGTAATTGATAAACAATTATTTATAAATTTATCTAATGTGACATTTAATAATAATTATAATAATTTAATAGATAATATTATAAATATTAACATAACTAATATATAAATATTATCAATTAATATATAAATATTTAGATTAAATGAAAAGTTTAAACTTTATATATTGATATATTTATTATTAATTAATATATTAATACTGTATATACAGTAAAACTTATTTTTAATATTCAACTTATTTCAATATTTTTTTATAGACATGTTTGGTCTATCTATTCAATCTGATTGTGGGAACGGGAGCCCTGACAATGCCGGCCGCTTTCGGTCACGCGGGTTGGTTGGCCAGTACGGTAATTGTCGTACTGTTGTGTATTGTCAGCTATATTACCACAACGTTTGTCATTGAGTCCATGTCATTGGCCAATGCACTCATCAAATATAATAAACAAAAAGGTTTTTTTATTATTAATTATTAAATTATTAAACTAAAATAACAACAAAATGTTTTATATATTACTTTTTGAAAAAAATAAATCCATTGATTTTTAAACTAAACACAAATAGAAATAGATATCTAAATAATCCAATAGTTAGACAAACTAACAAAAAAAAAAGTTTTTTATAATAACAATATTTATAAGTTAGTAGTAAAATGCATGCAATTGTCTATTAATCAATTAAATTATTATTATTATTTAAAAAAATTATATATATATATAATAAAATTTAATTAGTACGTAAACGGCGTGCACCCACTGCTGACCGTCGTCACAGTGAAGGCCAGTACCGGCCTTCACATACTGTTCCCGGTTTTGACAGTCCCTGTACTTCTACTACTACTACTACCAGTACTACCCATCACAATATGTATAGTTACGAAAAACTTCCACTTTTAGACTATAAGACTACCGATGATGACGATGATGATGGAGAAGGAGACACCCAATCGGCCTCCAGCGATGACAATACATCGGGTGGCGACCGTAAAGGCAGTAAATATCAGGAGAAACCGTCGACGTCGGCGGCGGCGATGGAGGAGTCGTCGTCATCATCTACAGGACAGTCCAATCTTTTTGATATTACCGAAAAAGTCGAATTGGGAGCCATGGCTGACCTATTCTTCAACAGTTGGGGCGTCCAATTGTTTTACATAACAATCGTTGTCTATCTGTTGGGCGATTTGGCCATCTATGGTGCAGCCATTAGCAAATCGATGCGTGATGTTACCTGGTATGGACACACCTACCTACTTACCCATACCTGTAATTTGTGTTTCACTAAAAAAAATGTTGTATTAATTATTATTGTTTTGTTTGTTTGTTTGTCGTTCTTATAAATAGTAACTACAAACATGACAACTGTTCGCAAAAGTTAACACTCGACGACCAGTGCTGGACAGGTGTACCGTCGGTTAGCCGTCAGAATGCCTACCGAATCTATTTGGCCCTAACATTGCTGTTTGTCGGTCCGTTTGCCTTTTTTAACGTACAAAAGACTAAATACTTGCAAATAGCAACAACATTGTTACGATGGACGGGTCAGTATACTCCCCAATGCCCTACCTCCCTACCCACCCAAGCAGTAAACTACCTGTTCTCTCATATATTGAAATAAACTACCGATAATATCAATATTTATTATATAACAGCATTCATCTCAATGACAATCATCGCATTGATCGCCCTGTCCTCAGGTAAGGCCAACGCCCGGCCGTCCACATTCACATTTAGCGGTATACCCAATCTGTTCGGTGTCTGTGTCTACTCATTCATGTGTCATCATTCGCTACCATCGTTGGTCACACCGGTTACCGACAAACGGCGCATATTTCGTTACATACTATGCGATTATACACTTATACTTGGCTTCTACTGTCTCCTATCGTTTACCGGTATCTTTGCCTTCAATCACTTGCAGGACATCTATACACTCAACTTTGAGGTTCCTCAGTAAGTCACACACACACACACACACACACACACACACACACACACACACACACACACACACACACACACACACACACACACACACACACATACACATACATACACACACACACACACACAAGTATAGACACAACTAATTGTATGGTTTATACACATTGATTAATAATTTTTTATACTCTATTACACAGTTGTTATAATAGTTGCTAAAAAACGTCAAATAGTTGTTAAAATAGTTATTGAAATAGTTATTTATTTTCTTATAAATATTTCAACTGATATATAATTCACTTGTTTTCAGCATATTTACAAAAATGATTTATATAAATAAACTAAATATTTCTATTGTTAAAAAAGTAATATGAGTTGATAACAGTTTACACATTTTATATAATTTATATAACTATTACTTTTTGTTTTTACATATATTTGAGCAATATTTTACAATTTAATGCTTATATTTTTCAAAATAAATGAAATAGTTATTTATAAGTTTTTATAGTTGCTAACCTAAGAAATAGTTATTTATAGTTATAATAAAATTTCGGAAATAGCGTCCACTGGTCAACTTCGGTGGACATACTAAGTCCCAGTTATAAGCGTTAAACCGACAAAATAATTTTTTTTAGTTGGAAATCAAGACACTATTTATAATGTATTCATATATATATATATATATAGGTGTTCGTCGGGCAGCGAGGAAGTCATAAAACCGGTTCCCGTATTGGACTACTTTCTACCGTTGTTTCCAGTGTTTACATTGTCGTCAAGTTTCCCGATAATAGCCATAACAATGCAAAACAATTTACGGACACTCTATACCGGGTGTTTTCCGCAAAACCGTCTGAACCAGTCGTTCATTGGCCGTCGACTACTATTCCCGTTGATTGCAATCGTACCGCCGATGATCATTGCATTTGCTACCGAAGATCTGCAAATACTGGTCGGTATTGTCGGCTCGTATGCCGGCGCCGGCATTCAGTACGTATTTCCCGCACTGTTGGTCTATTTTGGCCGACGGCGATTGTTGGGCGGCGGCGGCGACGGCGATGCCGCCGCCGGTTTCGGTACCGGCGGTATGACTCGTATTGTCTCACCGTTTGGCCACAAACTGTGGGTAGTCTTAGTCCTAATCTGGTCTGTGATATGCATTATATTAGTTACCGTCGATCATGTGATTCAATTGTCTAAATAAATAATTTTTGATTTATATAATTAAATAGAAAAAAACACAAATTAAAAAAATATGTATTTTAATTAATTATTTTTATATAAATTTTCCAATATTTTAGTAAAGTTTTAAATAATATAATAAATATTTTTTATATAAGAAAATAATATTCATAAATTTTTTTATACTCAAAATACAGTTACAAAAAAATATTTATATTACAAATAAATGATWTTATGATTATTAATATATAAATATATATATATAAAACAAATTTGCATTATTTAAATTTATTATTAAATTATTTATTTATATATTTTTTTGATAAAATTATTAAAATATTACCGATTTTGAATTGTTTAAAATATTTATAGCTTATATAAAAAATAATTAATACGTCTATAATATAGATGGCATTTATGAGTTAATTTTATATACTGCAGCTATAATAATAATAATAATAATAATAATAATAATAATCAATTGCACTAGTATTATAATCGCAATGCTATTACTTTTAGTTTACAGTAATGTATAGTCTATTCAAGTTTTATAACTATAAATAGATAAATGTTTATATATTTTTTTTAAATATCAAATTTTTATGTAAAATTATTTAGAATATGTTTTGTAAATATATTTATAATAATTTAATATTTAAATGAAATTTTTAAAAAAATATATATAAATGATTGATTTGAGTGAAAATATTTACATTAATTATTATTACATATCTATATATTTTTTTTTAATAAAAAACTAAACTTAATCACTGATTTGTTTTATATATATAATCAATGGTAAGAATAATTGGTAACTTAATTATTCAATAATATTTAATGCATTATTTTGTATAGATATATATATATATAAAACAATTAATTTTATTTATTTATTTTCTAATTATTTGTATTATATATACAGTATAAATATATATATATATATATATAAATTTTATATATCATATATAGTTTGGGATTAAATTTAAATTTAAAAAAAAATCCAAAAAACTTGAGGAATTGAAAATAACTAGAGACTGATATTTTTTTTAGTGACCCTAATGTCTAGAAAAAACCAAACCGATAGACGTTTGCGGTACCGGTTATTACGGTTTGCATCACCACTACTACTACTACGACTGAAGACTAAGACTACTACGACAACAACGAAGTCTGTGTCCATAATAGACTACATCCCGAAGTCGTCGTTTAATCGGTTCGGTGACGATATGGCCGAACAATTGCTAACATATTTGCCAATTGACGACAAACTGCGGCTTCAGTCGGTTTGCCGACAGTGGCGGTCATTGATATTTGTGTCGCAAACTCGACTAGTATTTGACGAAAGACTAATGGATCGACTGAATGGCAAATACCGGCGAATCAATAGCAGTCCAGACGAAAAAACTGATGATAATTATGCTAACGAACAGAAAACAATCAATTGGTTTGCGATTATCATCAAAAAGTGTCCGAACCTGTCGTCGGTGACCATAAATGTCGACTTAATGTCAGCGTCTGTACCGGCAATACATCCGATAGGTCTGATGACCTGTAGATTAGTCAATTTGATGGCCAATTTGTTGACAATACTGGTCGACAACAATTTACGCCAACTGCGGCACCTAATCGTTGAACACGATTATCGTTTATGCGATAATGATATCTATAACCTACCGATGCATATAATTGACCACTTATTCCAGGCCTACGGCCAACAGTTGCTGACATTCAAGATCTGCGGATTAGATACTTTGCTCAAGAGTTTAGTATTTAGTAAAGTCTGCACCAGTAGTAGTAGTAGTAGTAGTAGTAGAGAGACAACAGGTTTGCCAAACTTGAGATCGTTGGCCATCACTAGTGTAAGCAACGGTAGACTTGAAACGATTGATTTGTCTGCGGATCTATTCATTGACAATAAGACAACAACAACAACCGATACATGTTTTTTACCGAAACTACCGAAACAATTACAATCGTTTACTCTACAATTGACTACTGGCGAGTCAATTGACTTATTTGTCAAGTTTGCCGACCAGTATCGCCAACAGTTAATATCGTTAGCTATCGCAACAACTGGTGATTATTTGCCGGTCGAAGATCTGTTGGCCAACAAGTTGTTTGCAACCGGTTTGTCACAAATGTCACAACTGAAACAATTAGATATTTATACAGTTTGTTACGATTATAAACCGGTGGAGGAGTTGAGTATCAGTTTGTTGGCCACAATTGGTGGTTCCTATGGTTGTACACGACTTAAGACATTTCGGTTAATCAATTACCGCGGCTATCCATGGGTTGGCTATATCGGTGTTACTGTTGTTACACTGGGCGGTTGTCTTAAGCGACGTCTATATCGTTGATGAGATTTTATTTATTTATATATATACAGTATATATATTAATGGACAGTTAGACCACAAAAAAACTATTTAATTTTGTTATTGTTGGGAAACTTATCTAATCTATGGGTCAGCCGGTGGTCAGTGTGTGTCTGGTATGTGATCTGTACTGTAATGACAGTCAATAATTTAGTTTAATTGTCATAATTATTTTAAAAAATATATTTATGAAAATAAAATCCTTAAATCTTAATTAAATTATATGAATATATATATATATATTTATACTATTATTATAAATACTGACTGACAGTATGTAAGATAATATTTTTTTAATTTTTAGAAAATAATTATTATGTAATTTAAAACAATTTTGTACTAAAATTAATTTATAGTATTATTAATATAAGAAAATAATAATAATATTCTAGTAACTTATTTAAGTTTATCGATGATTTTTAATGAGTTTTTATATTATTAATAGTAAACTTACAACCGATTATTATTAATATTATAACATTTAAAACAAAATTTATTTTATTATATATAAAAATAATATTTTGTATAATAGATGGCAATCAAAGTGATTGAATTTTATTGCTAGTAATACTACTGCAGTAATAATAATAAATTACATCAAAAAAATTATTATTATTATATAAACACAATGAATTTACTTTACATTACTTTTAATGTATATTAAATGTATAAATAGATTAATGTTTATACAGTAATAAAATTATTAAATACATGTTATGTATTAATATAAATATATGAACAAAATTAATGAATTAATAAGTTTGTATATCATATACTGAATTATATAATGAAAAAAATAATTATTAATTATTAGAAATATTATGTTTTTATTATACTGTATATAACTGAAATATAACACAATTGAATGAAAATCAAATGTAAAGAATTAATAATATAATAAATATAATAATAATTATTATAATTATAAATATATTTTTTCTAATAATATTTTTTTCAATTGATTTCATCAATAGTTTTTTATGGATGTAAATTTTCATAACAAATTTTATTTTATAATTTAAATTAATATATTTTATAATCATATTTATATAATTTATAAACAATATAATTATATATTTAAAAAAAATACTTTTTTAATAACATAATTTTACATAATTATATAAAAATAATAATATTATTATTTTTTTAGACACTACCGCCCCATTTGAAATGTGGTCCATTAAACGGGACATTGGGTGCGGTTAGCAAATAGTTGGCAATCGATGGCAACGATCGGACTCTTGAGGTAAACTGTTTTAGTTTATCGACTTTCGAGTAGACCTCCAATGGTTGCCAAGCGTTAAGTTTTTCCAATAATTCAAAGGCAATAAAGTCTACATAAGTGACTGTTTGTCCTAAAAAAAAACAATCAAAAAACAAAAAAGTTAATCAAAAATGTTTTTTTCTGAGATCTGTCTCTCTCTCTCTCTCTCTCTCAACCACACACACACACACACACATAGACTCACACACACACATACATAGACTCACACACACACATACATAGACTCACACACACACATACATAGACTCACACACACACACACAGACTCACACACACACATACATAGACTCACACACACACATATATAGACTCACACACACACATACATAGACTCACACACACACATACACACACACACACACATACATAGTCTCACACACACACACACACACACACACACACACACACATACATACATACATACATACACTCACTTCCATCCCAAATACCTACCGGCCAAAAACGGTCGATCCCCTAGAAATTTGCCCAATAGTTGTAAACTCGGCGACAAACGTTTTTCCAGATAATCGGCTTTTATTGTATCATAATCTGGATGTAACATCAATTGGGAAAACTGTGAACTCATTTCAGTCAATTGTTGTTCAACAACATTCACCCGCCGTTGCTCTTCGCCGGACTGACCGGACAAACCCTGGTGTTTGCCGGCAATGTATCGACAAATGGCCAGTTGTTGTGTCAGTTTTACATCATTATCGTCATCAATATAGTAGGGAAGCTAATCATTGGGAAAAAAATTAATAAAATAATTTATTTTATCCATTAATTAATAATACATACATTAGGAAAGTCAAATCCCAGCGACTGTTTGTCCCGTTTGAACCAATCATCACTACTACTAGGACTGTACCGTTTGTCCTCAAATTTGGTGCCCGTATAGGTCAACAATAAGCGAATTGGTTCGCCTTTCTATTAGTTAATATAAACCAACAACAAAAAAATTAATTAAAAAAAACAAATTAAATAACAAATTCAGTGAAATATTATAAGAATTACTAAACAAACAGAAAAATTATTTTAGATATAAAAAACAAATAAATAGTTTTCTATTATAAATATAATTATAAATATATTTTTTTAGAAATAAAAATAAATGTATCTAGGTATAAATAATTATATCAACAAAATTTTTTTTTTGATAAACTTACTCCACGTATATTCCAATAACCCAATGTCGGTGCCATTGATTTTGATTGATTTATTTATTTTAGTATAAAACTTGATTAACAATTAATTATACAGTAAATAATAACTATTAAGTTTGATAATTAAATATAATTATTTTTTTTCACTCTCACTAATTGTAGTCAACAACAACAATATTTTTTAATATACTACACAAATATTAAAAAAAATTTTTTTTTAATGTTTAGCAGATTTTCAATGGCATTAAATAGTTTTTTTTTGTTGTAGAAATAGTCAATATTCATTAATGTACTACTAATGCACTATTAATAACGTACACTACTGTATATATCAATTAATATATCTATAATATACATGTACAGGTAATATCAAAACAGTTAGCAATAATACCTAACCTGAAGGACATGTATGTGTAGATGTACTTTACATTTACCTAATTTTTATATTTATTTATTTTTTAGTACAGTGTGTTCTCTTATCAATTAAAACACAATTTATGATAAAATTTTTAAGTATTTGTGTATACAATGTATTGTATTATTTAAAAAAAAAAATTATAATACTTTACCCTGTGAACACAATGTACTTGTAATTCAATATATACACTGTAGTTGTATACATATTGTATAATACTGTATTAATATGATATTAATATATAATTTTTCATTGTAAATAAAATACTATTAAATTAGATAAAGTATTTGTTAATAAAAAATATATGTATAATAAATAAAACAATAGTTAAACATTTAGTTTTTTTTTAAATTAGTAGAATTGAAATTATAACTAATTTAATTTATTAATAGATTGCATTAACATAAAAAATATAGTTTAAAAAATACTTATGAACTTTTGAATTTAAAAAATAAAAATTTATGAATATTTTTTTTTGGAAAATTTACATAAAACAATTTATTTATTAACTAATAATTTGTTTACAATATAAATTTATGAATATTTTTGTTGTTGTATATATTTTGAAATATATTTATAATTTTATAATATATTTTTTTTAATGATTATTAATAAAGCACATCAACATCGAAATCATACACTAATTATTATATTTTATATTTTATTTTATATAATAAATATTATTATTTTAGTATCAAAATCATTACAACTTAATTAAATATAAAATAATAAACAATAAAACTAGAAAATTAATGATTATTTTTTCTTAATTATTAAGTTAATAATAATATTTGTTTATTGTAATTTAAAAAATACATATAATTTATTTATCTCTCAAATGTTCAATAAAGTTGAAGTTTAAAGGTTATTGTATTTTAAAAAAATAAATATTAAAAAATATTTTTAAAAATTTAAAACTATAAAACTATAAAAGTTCTATAAATAAAAATCATTGACTATTATTGCATCGATTAAATTATAATAATATTTATCAATAATTTAAATTAAACTAAAGTTTTATTTCTGTTTTTATTTATTTGTTTAGTTTATAACTATTATTATGAATAAAATAATAATATTTTTGTTGCTATAATTTGTTAAATATTTAATTTGAAATTTAAATTTTAAAAATAATAATCATTGATTTGTTAAAGTTATACAAAAATTGTATTATTTTACAAAACTTTGATATTGTATAATATTTATACAATTAAATCATAGTTATACTGTAAAACAACTAAAATTAAAAAAAATGATTAATAATTTTGATCCGCAAAAACTATTACCAACCGACTTATGGCTCAGGGATGCCGACAGTCATCTCTATCGTATTGGTCTATCACTCAATAAACCTAACAATCGATTCATCAATCGATGGTTTATCTATAATCCAAAACTAGTATTTTCGATGACATTCATGCAATTTGTTTTGCAAAACATAATACTAATTGGCGATCAACTGATCAAATTGAATGTATCGATTGATTACAGGCTATATATGAGTGATTTCCCATATTTTCTAGGTGTGGGCAATATTTGCAATGCACTGGTAGTTATAATTCAAATACTACTACTCGGTTCACAATCGGTTAACTATAGTAACTATCGATCGGGTATTAACACTAACGATATACTGGGTATACTTCAAGTAATGGCCGGTCGGCGTACACCCGATTCGTGCGGTCTAAGCGATCGCAAGACAGTGTTACGCGTGCGACACGTTTGCCGTTTATCGCTGCTAACGGCGCGCGTGTGTTGCGATTCAATGGGTTTCATGCAATTGGCACTGGCATTGATTTCGTATAATTCAAAAACAACCATGATACAATTTGTTTTACTGGGTATACCTCATAGTATTTATTGGTCAATATTGGGTAACTATTGTTTCAATATAATGATCTATCAATCAGTTTACTATTATATAATAACTTATTATTTGAAATTAAAATTAAAATTATTGAATCAAAACATACGATTAATATTGGATAATAAAAAAAATCAATTAAACTTAAATCTTATTAATATTAGGATTAAATGTATAATTTATGAATTGAATATCGTTTACAATGAGATACACGACTATAATATAAAATATTGGTCCAAATATTTAGGTCTCCTATGGCTAACCATTAGTTCAATTATTTCATTAATAATTTATATAACATTTTTTGCTGACATTTCGGATGAAAAATTGAAACTTATATTAGGTTTCTATGCAATGAATGATATGTTTTTATTATTATTTATAATACAAATATCCAATGCTATATACTATGAACCTATTGTTACATATAATCTATTGAATTCATATGTATCATCAAAATCAAAAATACCGCTTATATTGAAATATAAGGTAAATAACAATTTTATTTTATTAATTTTTATTTAAAATAATTATCAATTTATTTAATCAAAGATATCAGGTTTATTGGAGAGATTGGCTGAACAAAACATTGGTTTTTATTGTTGGAAACTATTTATTATAAATAATTTTAGAGGATTTGAGGTATTATTTCATATAATTAATTATTATTTAAAAACTTATTATTTTTTAATAACTTAATTAACTTAATTTTATAATAATACATTACATATTAATAATTTAAACATATAATAATTTTACGATAACTATTAATAATTGATTATTTTTTATTAATTTATTTGTTTAGATTATTACAGTAATAGTTATCCTATTTTTAAAAGTATATCATCAATGACTTATTATTATTGTATTATTATATAACTATTTTTAATAACTTATTAAAATTAATAATAAATATTAAATTTTTTAATAAAAAATTATATTTTTGTAATAATTTATTTTATATGTTGTAGTTATAGTGTAATATAATTTGAAATCGTCTTTGAAAATCATAAACTAATTATTGTAATTAAAAATAAATAATAATAATATTGGAAATTATTTATTATTAACAATTTTAGAATATATGAAGTAAGTATTAGAATATATTTTTTAAATATTAATTATTTTTTTACAAAATATTAATTATTTATTTTATTGATTTAATTATAGATCATATCGATAATATGTATTTTATTTTTAAAATTACGTGAATAAATATCAGATGTTATGTAAAATATTAATTAGTCAAATATTTTAGTTATTAATTTATCTTAAAATTTATTATTATTATTATTACTAATAATTTTTCTATTAATAGTTTTAATAAAATAATTACTTTATAAAAAAATTTGATTATATTTAACATTGAAAATAAATAATTTTTGTTTATCATATATATGATTGCATTCAAATAATAATAAATTACAATAAGTTTGCAAAAAATATTTAAAAATAATAATATTATTATTTATTAACTTTTATAACACGATATAAAATATTCATTAAATATACTGTACTTATAATATTGTTTTATATTATTTTTTTATAAAATTTCATTGTATATATAACTGAAACAAATTTAATAAAAAAATAATAATAATTATAATATCAAATATGACCGATAAGTTTGATCCGAAAAAATTATTGCCACCCGAGCTATGTATTACGGGTGCCGATAGTCATCTCTATCGTATCGGTCTATCACTTGATAAACCCAACAATTCATCCATCAATCGTTGGTTTATTTATAATCCATTGCTTATATTTTTAATGTTTTTCATACAATTTCTATTGCAAAATATCATACTAATCAACGATCAATTAATCAAATTGAATATACCAATTGATTATAGACTATACCTGGGTGATTTACCATATTTTCTACTAATTGGTAATGTATGCAATGGACTGGTATGGATATTTTTAATACTATTATTCGGATCACAGTGGATTAACTATCAAAACTATCGATCGGGTATTAACATCAATCAGGATATACTGGGTGTACTACAGGTGCTGACCGGTCGGCGTACACCCGGATCGTACGGTCTAACCGATTGGCAACTAGTATTACGGGTGCGACACGTTTGCCGTCTATCGTTACGGATGGCACGCTTGAGTTGCGATTCAATTGTTTGGCTACAATTGGCACTGGGTATGTTTAGTTTGAATGCAATATTCAACCTAGTACCATTACTATTGGTTGGTTTACCATATTGTATTTACTGGGCTATATGGTTACACTGTGGCTACAATATTATGATCTATCAGGCAATTTACTATTATATAATAACATATTATTTGCTAATAAAAATGTAATTGATTAATAAAAATATTAGAAACTTATTGTCTGATAAAATTACTAATAATTATTCAAACAATTTAGCAATCAATCGTATAATATATAAATTGACTGCAGTTTACAATGAAATAAATGACTATAATATGAAATATTGGTCCAAATTTTTGGGTTTACTATGGCTTACAATTAGTTCAATAGTTGCAATGATTATCTATATAACAGTTTTTAGTAATACATATAATAATATTTTACGATTGATTTTAGGTTTTTATGCAATGAATGACTTGTTTTTACTATTATTTATAATACGAATATCTAATGCATTATATTATGAAACTATTTTAACATATAGTCTATTGAATTCATATGTTTCAACAAAAACAAAAATACCGCTTATATTGAAACTTAAGGTTAAAATACAATAATTTTTTTTATATATTTAACTATTTATTTAATTACTTAAATATTTAATTAATAGATATTTGAA